AAGCTCAACGGTATCGTGTCACTTAAAAGAGGGGTTCGCTTTCACGGAGAAATACATTTCCAGCCCTTCTGGTTCAGAAAGAAAGAAAGAGAGAGAGAGAGAGAGGGAGGGAGGGAGGGAGGGAGGGAGGGAGGGGAGGGAGGAAGGAAGGAAGGAGGGGAAGGAGGAAGAAAGGGAAGGAGAAGAGAAAGAAGGAAAGAAGGAAAGAAGGAGAAAGAGGAAGAGAAGAAAGGGGGAGGGAGGGAAGGGAAGGGAGAAGGAAGGAAGGAGGAAAAGGAAGGAAGGAAGGGAAGGAGGAAAGGAAGAAGAAAGAGGGAGGAGGAGGAGGAAGGAGGAAGGAGGAAAGAAAGGAAGGAGGAGGGAAGGAAGGAGGAAGGAGGGAAGGAGGGAAGGAGGAAGGAAAGGAGGGATAGAGTGAGGAAGGGATAAAGAAAGGAAGAAAGAAGGAAGGAAAGAAGGGAAAAGAAGAAAGGAGGAGGGAGAGAGGAGAAAGAAAGAAAAGAAAAGGGAGGGAGGGAGGGAGGGAGGGAAGGGAAGAAGGAAAGGAAGGGAAGGAAGGAAGGAAGAGAAAGAAAGAAGAAAGAGAGGGAGGGAGGGAGGGAGGGAGGAAGGAAGGAGGGAGGAGGAAGAGAAAGAAAGGAAGGAAAGAAGGGAAGGAGGAAGGAGGAAGAGAGGGAGAAGGAAGGAGGGAGAGAGTGAGGAAGGGAAAAAGAAAGGAAGGGAGGAAGAAAGAAAGAAAGAAAGGGAAAAGAAGGGAAGGAGATAAGGGAAAGAAAGAAGGAAAGGAAAGAAAGAAAGAAAGAAAGAAGAAAGAAAGAAAGAAAGAAAGAAAGAAAAAGAAAGAAAATAAGTTTGTATAGGAACATTGCTTAAATTAAAGATGGTCAAGACTAGCTCTTCAGGGTCTCATCCAGATGTCAGTCCCCCACCTCCCTTTGACCTATTTTTTTGGGGAAAGGGGGTCCTGTATCAAATCCCCAAAATATATCTGTATGGAAAATGTGGGTTTTGCTACTCTGCCTTTCACAACAGAGGATGGTTTCAGCCCTCCTAGTCCAGAAGTCCACCCTTCTGTTGGTTCTTAAAAAGCCACTGTTTTCCTGCACAAAAGGACCGTCCCGCTCTTGTCTTCATTTGCAACCGTAATCCTGATCAGATCCAAACCGAGTCATGGGGTACCTTTAAAAATTAAGCCTTGCTGATTTATGGCCTAACATGAACACATCCTCTCTTTTTGAACCTTATTTTGCGAAGGCTAACTCTGCCATCATAAGGGATAGGAACTTAATTATGCTTTTTAAATGATCATTGGAATGCGTAAGCACAAAACATTTTGGAATGGTAATATATAGACATATGCATGGATGCACACACGCACAAGCATACAAACACAATTCGCACACACACACACACACACACACTCTCTCTCTCTACGGGTTGCCACCAAACCGCTTAGTCCATCCCACTCCTTAGCTGTTCCCACAAACACACACACTTTTGAAATTTAAATTCTGCCCAACCAGAGAGGTTAATATGTTTCACAATGAATTTTGATTGATCAAACGTGATTAGGAGCTGCTGATGAATATGGATGAGGTTTTTGAAAAACAAAAAAATAAAGTTCGGAAACACTCCCCTCCTTTTTAAAAAAAATTAATTTGCATCCACGGACCGAGAACTGCAGCTGGTGTGAAAAAGAGTGGAAGCTGGGTAGCGTTAAATAGAGAGAAAGTTGGCCAAGTCAGGAGAGAATCAACGGAAAGCGATCCAGGCTGGCTGCAGAGAAGCTTCCACGATTCTCCACCGAGCTTTGAAGTTTGAAATTGAGACAAGTTTTTTTTTTTTCCCCCAAAGTTAAAAATCCTCAGATAATTTTCTCAGCAGGGATAATCGGACTGCCCTGTTTTCAGATGTCACCTGTCTGTGAGAGGGACCTTCACGTCCTAGTGCAGGGGTCCTCAACCTTTCGGACCTCAGGGACCACTAAATTCATACATTTAAATCCCGCGGACCACTAATATGTCTGCCTAATGACCTATTGGGGTCGCGCGGGATTTAAAATTATGAATTTAGTGGTCCCTGAGGTCCGAAAGGTTGAGGACCCCTGCACTAGGACCTGAAGGTCCCTCTCACAGCCAGGTGCCATCTGAAAACAGGGCAGTCCGATTATCCCTGCTGAGAAAATTATCTGAGGATTTTTAACTTTGGGGGAAAAAAAAAAGCACTTGTCCTCAATTTCAAATCAAAGCTCGGTGGAGAATCGTGGAAGCTTCTCTGCAGCCAGCCTGGATCGCTTTCGTTGATTCTCTCCTGACTTGGCCAACGTTCTCTCTATTTAACGCTCCCAGCTTCCACTCTTTTTCACACCAGCTGCAGTTCTCGGTCCGTGGATGCAAATTAATTTTTTTTAAAAGGAGGGGAGTGTTCCGAACTTATTTTTTTTGTTTTTCAAAACTCATCCATATTCATCAGCAGCTCCTAATCACGTTTGATCAATCAAAATTCATTGTGAAACATATTAACCTCTCTGGTTGGGCAGAATTTAAATTTCAAAATGTGTGTGTGTTTGTGGGAACAGCTAAGGAGTGGGATGGACTAAGCGGTTTGGTGGCAACCCATAGAGAGAGAGAGAGTGTGTGTGTGTGTGTGTGTGTGCGAATTGTGTTTGTATGCTTGTGCGTGTTGTGCCTCCATGCATTATGTCTATATATTACCATTCCAAAATGGTTTTGTGCTTACGCATTCAATGATATTTAAAAAGCATAATTAAGTTCCTATCCCTTATGATGGCAGAGTTAGCCTTCGCAAAATAAGGTTCAAAAAAGAAGAGGATGTGTTCATGTTGGCCATAAATCAGCAAGCTTAATTTTTAAGGTACCCCATGACTCGGTTTGGATCTGAACAGGATTACGGTTGCAAAATGAAGACAAAGAGCGGGACGGTCTTTTGTGCAGGAAACAGTGGCTTTTTAAGAACAACAGAAGGGTGGACTGGACTTTGGACTAGGAGGGTGAAACCATCCTCTGTTGTGAAAGGCAGAGTAGCAGACCCCACATTTTCCATACAGATATATTTTGGGGAATTGATACAGGTCCCCCTTTCCCCCCCAAAATAGGTCAAGGGAGGGTGGGGGACTGACATCTGGATGAGACCCTGAAGAGCTAGTCTTGACCATCTTTAATTTAAGCAATGTTCCTATACAAACTTATTTTTTTCTTTTCTTTCTTTCTTTCTCTTTTTTCTTTCTTTCTTTCTTTCTTTCTTTCTTTCTTTCTTTCCCTTCTCCCTCCTTCCCTTCTTTTCCCTTTCTTTCTTTCTTCCTCCCTTCCTTTCTTTTTCCCTTCCTCACTCTCTCCCTCCTTCCTTCCTCCTTCTTCTCCTTCCCTCCTTCCTTCTTTCTTCCTTTCTTTCCTTCCTCCCTCCTCCCTCCTTCCTTCCTCCTCCTTCCCTCCCTCCTCTTTTCTTTCTTTCTTTCTTCCTTCTTCCTTCTTCTTCCTTCCTTCCTTCTTCCCTTCCTCCCTCCCTCCCTCCTTTCTTTTCTTTCTTTCTCCCTCTCTTCCTCCTTCCCTTCTTTTCCCTTTCTTCCTTCCTTTCTTTCTTCTTTCTTTATTTTCCTTCCTCACTCTATCCCTCCCTCCTTCCTTCCGTCCTTCCTTCGTCCTTCCTCCCTTCCTCCCTCTCTTCCTCCTTCCCTCCTTCCTTCCTTCCTTTCTTTCTCCCCTCCTTCCCGCCCTCCCTCCCTCCCTCCCTCCCTCTTTTTCTTCCTTTCTTTCTTCCTTCCTTCCTTCCTTCCTTCCTTTTTCCTTCCTTCCTTCCTTTCTTCCCTTCCCTCCCTCCCTTCCCTCCCTCCCTCCCTCCCTCCCTCTCTCTCTCTCTCTCTCTTTCTTTCTGAACCAGAAGGGCTGGAAATGTATTTCTCCGTGAAAGCGAACCCCTCTTTTAAGCGACACGATACCATTGAGCTTTTTTTTTTTTCCCCATGGGAAAAAAAAATGGAAATGGGCTCACGTTCATTGATGTGTGTGCTTCTATCTACAGAAATAGCTGCACGAGAGTGATGCAAATGTCCTCTGGCTGGAGATTGTCTCCAAGAAAATGTACAGCTCTTCTTTCCCCCAAGCGTCCTGAGTAAATCCTGTGCCATGCTTCAACTCGTCCCTCCTAATGTAGCGAGAAACTTGGCACCTCAACACAGCGTGAAGCCAAGACTTTGCTTGTCAGCAGCCTCACTCTTTCCACCTGCTTACATCTCCAACTTCTAATTCTCCTGTCCCATTTCTCTCAAGGAGCCAGCTTGTTCTGATTGGCCTGACATTGGAAGGTCCCTTGGTTATTCTTAATCCAGAAGAAGAAGAAAGGTCCACAGAATGGACCAAGGAGGAACCCTTTTCTTCCTGAATCGAGCTGGAAGGGACCTTAGAAGTCTTCTAGTCCAGCCCCCTGCTCAAGCAGGAGACCCTATACCATTCCAGACAAGTGACTGTCCAGACTCTTCTTAAAAGCCTCCAGTGATGGAGAACCCACAACTTCTGATGAGAAGCTGTTCCATTCCTTAATTGTGTCTCCCTGTTAGCAAGTTTTTTTTCCCTTAATTCCAGGTTGCTTCTTTCCTTGATGAGTTTCCATCCATTGCTTCTTGCCCTAGCTTCAGGTGCTTCAGAGAATAAGTTGACCCCCTCCTCTTCGTAGCAACCTCTCAAATACTGGGATACTGCTATCACATCACCCTAATCCTTCTTTTCTTCAAACTAAAGGTAAAGGTTCCCCTCGCACATATGTGCTAGTCGTTCCTGACTCTAGGGGACGGTGCTCATCTCCGTTTCAAAGCCGAAGAGCCAGCGCTGTCCGAAGACGTCTCGTGGTCATGTGGCCGGCATGACTCAATGCCAAAGGCGCACAGAACGCTGTTACCTTCCCACCAAAGGTGGTCTTCCTGCCTCTGCCTGCCTACCAGCCTGCCTTTGTCCATTCTCCCTTCCCTTCCCCTCCCTTCCCTTGCCTGTCTGCCTTCCTGCCTCCATTCTCCCCTCCCTTCCTTCCCCTCATTCCTCAGCCTGCCTGCCTGCCTGCCTGCCTGCCTGCCTGCCTGCCTATCTGTCTGTCTATCTATCTATCTATCTATCTATCTATCTATCTATCTATCTATCTATCTATCCGCTATAGTATCTCGTCTGGCATAATAATAAAAGCGTTGAGACTTCTGCCTGGATGGGAGAAAACAGGAAGGGCCATTTTCTGCAACCTGGTCCTTACGACGCCCATCATCCCTTCCCTCACCAGGGCCAGTCTCTGTACGAGCAGAAGGTTTACCTGGATGCCCTCGACTCCTTCACTCACGCCTGCGAGCTCCAGCCTCAGAGCACGCTTTACCGCATGAGGAGGTACCAAAAAAACCCCGAATTTGTTCCCCAAAGTTTTAAGAACGATGGGTCTTCCCTCCTCCGAGGTCCCTGTCTAGGATGACCACTAAATAAGATGATCAACCAGGGTGATTAATCATCCTGTTTTGAAAAGATTATTTTTTAAAAAAGAACGACAGTTCTAAAATGCCTTTTCGTCAAAACGTGACTGATGTGAGAAGGACCTTTATTGATTGAGGGGGGCCTCCATTTTTGTTTTAACCACTGCACCACCATGGGAAGGAAGGAAGGAAGGAAGGAAGGAAGGAAGGAAGGAAGGAAGGAAGGAAGGAAGGAGGGATAGAGGAAGGAAGGAAAGAGAAATGAGAGGGAGAGAAAGAAGGAAGGGAAGTTAGCAATAGCACTTAGACTTATATATCGCTTCATAGTGCTTTTACAGCCCTCTCTAAGCGGTTTACAGAGTCAGCCTCTTGCCCCCCAACAATCTGGGTCCTCATTTGACCCACCTCGGAAGGATGGAAGGCTGAGTCAACCTTGAGCCGGTCAGGATCGAACTGCCGAATTGCTGGCAGTCAGCAGTCAATTAGCCTGCAATAATGCATTCTAACCACCGCACCACCATGGGAAGGAAGGAGGGAGGGAGGGAGGAAGGAAGGAAGGAAGGAGGGAGGGAGGGATAGAGGAAGGAAGGAAAGAAATGAGAGGGAGAGAAAGAAGGAAGGGAAGTTAGGAATAGCACTTAGACTTATATATCGCTTCACAGTGCTTTTACAGCCCTCTCTAAGCGGTTTACAGAGTCGGCCTCTTGCCCCCAACAATCTGGGTCCTCATTTGACCCACCTCGGAAGGATGGAAGGCTGAGTCAACCTTGAGCCAGTCAGGATCGAACTGCTGAATTGCTGGCAGTCAGCAGTCAATTAGCCTGCAGTAATGCATTCTAACCACCGCACCACCATGGGAAGGAGGGAGGGAGGGAGGGAGGGAGGGAGGAAGGAAGGAAGGAGAAAAGGGAGGGAGAGAAAGAAGAAAGGGAGGGAGGGAGAGAGAGAGAACGAAAGAAGAAAGGGAGGGAAGGAAGGAATAGCAATAGCCCTTAGACTTATATACCGCTTCATAGTGCTTTTACAGCCCTCTCTAAGCGGTTTATAGCATCCGCCTCTTGCCCCCAACAATCTGGGTCCTCATTTTACGCACCTCGGAAGGATGGAAAGCCGAGTCAACCTTGAGCCGGTGAGATTTGAACTGCTGAACTGCAGCTAACAGTCAGCCCGCAGGACTGCACTCTAACCGCTGTGCCACGTCGGCTCTTGAATCCTCCGCATTTCTTTTCCAACCTTAAAGCCTCCTCCTCCTTTTTTCGCCGGCCAGCATCGCCTGCCTGGCTGCCATGAACCGATTCAACGATTGCCTTCAGATGGTCAACGAGGAGGTGGAGCTCGAGAAGAACAACGCCGACCTCTTCGTCCTGCGGGCTCGTCTCTTCGAATATTTTGGGAAGGTGGAAAAACTACCTGATTTTATTCTTTGGGGGATTGTTCTCTCACCCCACCCATTAGTTATACTCAGGTCGCCCTTGAACTTAATGACCGTTCGCTTACTGACGAATCGACAGTTCCATTGAAAGAAGTGACCTAACAACCGATGGTCCTCAGGTTGCGGCCATCGTGGCATCCCCAGGGTCATGGGATCGAAGTTCAGGGGTGGGGTCCTTAGTGCTCTCTGAGCTTGGTGGTTTTCTTGCAGACCCACATTTCATGACCCAACTTGGTAACATCATCAGTGCTGGAAGGGAGTGGGATGTGGTGAGGAGGAGGAGGAGGAAGAGGGAGGAAGAAGGAAGGAGAAAGGAGGAGGATGTGGGGTCTTGGTGCCCTCTGATCTTGCTTGTTTTCTTTTTTTTTTTATTGAAAAAGTTTTTCGAATACAAATTTTTCCCCCTTTTTTTCCCCCCTCCTCCCTAACCCCCCCCTCCCCCTCCCCTCCCCCTGTGGCTTCTTCATAATAAAACCCAAATTCATAACAGATTATATAATACTTTACTATCCCCTTACTCCATCCCCATATACTGACCCTTTCTTTCTAATAATATTATTATATCCCCCTTATACTATACATTTCAAAATGACATTCTACTATAACATTATATAATAACTCCTAATTTAACATAATAATGTTATTATATCTCCCAGTTTAGCGATTTCTGCTCATAATCTACCCTTTTTCTACCCCCCCATACATATATCTCTTAAATCAAATCTTTTATGTATATTAATCTAACATTTCAAAGCAACCTTCCGCTATAAAACTATATAATAAATCCTAATTTAACATTTATTCAATTGATAGTCTACCCATTTCCTTCACCCCCATCGATATATCTCTTAACTCCAATCTTTTACATATATTCATATCTAAACGTAATATCCCTTTTCTTAAACTAAACAATCAATAAACTAACCTGTCTCCACCCACTTTCCTATAAGACTACCATACTTAATAATTCGTAATATCTTTATTCTTCTGCCCACACCACTAAAAAATATTCCCTTATGTAAATAAAATCCTCTTAAAAAAGACTTTAAGCTTGTAATCCATATGATATCTTCTATAATGTCTTTCAGCTGGATTATTAACTCCATCACCCATGTTAGGGTAACATCACATCCTAGTTCCAACAGTATGTTCGGTATCTTCAGTTGCTTGTTTTCTTGCAGATGTTTCATGACCCGACTAAGTTACATCATCAGTGGTAGTGATCAGGGGTGGGTTCTAAATTTTTTTTCACTACCGGTTCTGTGGGTGTGGCTTATTTTGTGGGCGTGGCTTGGTGGGGGGGGGTAATATGACTGGGTGAGCGTGGCCAACTTTTTTTTTTTATTATTTTACTTTTAAAAGCATTTTTTCTACAACCTTGCAGAAAACAATGCTTTGAAAAGCCTCTGACGATCAGGCAACTCAGCTGGGATCGCCAGAGGCTTTTCGAGGCATTTTTTTTCCCTACAGCCTCTTCGGCTGAAGAGGTTGCAGAAAAAATGCTTTGAAAAGCCTCTGACGATCCCAGCTGAGCCACGTGATCGTCAGAGGTTTTTTTTTTACTTTTAAAAGCATTTTTTCGGCCGAAGCGGTTATAGAAAAAACGCTTTTAAAAGTTTTTTTTTTAAAAAAACCCTCTGATGAGGTGGGCGGGGTAAGTGAGCGGCAACCGGGCCGGGGACCGGTTCGGGGGCGTGGCCAGCCAATGTTATTACCGGTTCTCGGAACTACTATAAATTTTTATTACCGGTTCTTGCGAACCGGTGCGAACCGGGACCAACCCACCACTGCTAGTGATGCTTAACACTGATGGTGTTACCTATCGTAGTTGGGTCATGAAATGTCTGCAAGGATAGTCCTCTTCCTCCTCCCTTTCTCCTTCCTCCTCCTCTCTCCACACACCACTCCCTTCTAGCACTGATGATGTTCCCTAGTTGGGTCATGAAACGTCTGCAAGAAAACCGCCAAGCTCAGAGAGCACCAAGGCCTCCTTCATGTCAACCCTGAGCTACAGAGATTCTCCTCAGGTGTTTGGCGCCCGGTGTGTATTTGACAACAATTGCATTGTCTGAGGTCACACGGTCTCCATTTGCAACCTTCCCAAGTCAGCAGGGGAGTGGGGGGGGGGGAATTTGAATCCGTATAACCTGAGTTGTGGCTCAGTGGCTAAGATACTGAGCTTGTCGATCGAAAGGACGGCAGTTCAGCGGTTCGAATCCCGAGTGCCGCGTAAATGGGGTGAGCTCCCGTGACTTGTCCCAGCTTCTGCCAACCTAGCAGTTCGAAAGCACGTAAAAAAATGCAAGTAGAAAAATAGGGACCCCCTTTGGTGGGAAGGGAACAGCGTTCCGTGTGCCTTTGACATTGAGTCATGCCGGCCACATGACCACGGAGATGTCTTCGGACAGCGCTGGCTCTTCGGCTTTGAAACGGAGATGAGCACCGCCCCCTAGAGTCGGGAACGACTAGCACAGATGTGCGAGGGGAACCTTTACCTTTACCTTTTACCCATCTTAAGTCTGATTCGCTTAAGAACGGCGCCGTCTGCTTTGCTCCCTCCAAAGGCGAGCTGCTGTTTTTGCAACGTCCAAGAGGCCCTCGCGTTGGATCCAGACCACGTGGAAGCCTGTCTTCTCTTGAAGAAGATGACCAAAGAGGCAGAGAGGTCTAAAGATTGCGCGGTGAGCTTGGCTATCAAGGGCAACCTGAAAGGTGCTTTGCTGAAGATCAATCGAGCCATCAACTACAACCCCTTGGATGAAAAGTATTTCCTCTTCAGGTACCCGGGGTGTAGTCGCTGCGGTTTTGGATTTCTGCAAGGGGGTGTAAATGAGGTGGATGAAGAGAGGGAAGAGCTGGGATGGAGAACAGATTCGAATGGCATTTGGTAGCTCAGAAGGAGCACGGTGAGAACTGTCTCGCCCTCAACCCCAAAAGTTGGGCTTCTGGGCTTGGGATTTTTCTTTGGGGGAAGGGGTGGGCTTCCACAGGGGGCTGAAATTATTTATTTATTTAGCATATGGCACCTACAGAAGTCATGCTCTCACTGATATACAAATTTGGTTTAAATAAAGCATAGATGGATAGATAGATAGATAGATAGATAGATAGATAGATAGATAGATAGATAGATACTGATGAAGATAGATAGATAGACAGACAAATAGATATAGATGATGTAGATAAGAGATTAGATAGATATAGATAGATTAGATAGATAGATAGATAGATAGATAGATAGATAGATAGATAGATGAATGATAAATAGATCGTTAGATGGTAGATAGATGATAGATAGATAGATGATAGAAAGATTGTTAGATGATTAGATAGATAGATAGATAGATAGATAGATAGATAGATAGATAGATAGATGATAGATGAATGAAGATCGTTAGGATGATAGATAGATAGATAGATAGATAGATAGATAGATAGATAGATAGATAGATAGATAGATGGATAGATAGATAGATGAATGACAGAGAGATAGAGATAGATGATAGATGATAGATAGATAGATAGATAGATAGATAGATAGATAGATAGATAGATAGATAGATAGACAGACAGACAGACAGACAGATAGGGTGATAGATAGATAGATAGATAGATAGATAGATAGATAGATAGATAGATAGATAGATAGATAGATACTGATGAAGATAGATAGACAGACAGACAGAAATAGATATAGATGATGTAGATAAGAGATTAGATAGATAGATAGATAGATAGATAGATAGATAGATAGATAGATAGATGATAGATAGATACTGAAGATAGACAAGCAGAAATAGATGTAGATGATGTAGATAAGAGATTAGATAGATAGATAGATAGATAGATAGATAGATAGATAGATAGACAGACAGATAGATGAAAGATAGATAGATAGATAGATAGATAGATAGATAGACAGATAGATGAAAGATAGATAGATAGATAGATAGATAGATAGATAGATAGATAGATGTACATAAACTTACTTATGTACATAAGTATACTATATTGTATTGTCCACAAATATACGGACAATATAATACAGGAGATAAAATATTAAACTACGACAAAACCACAATAAAATAGCCATGATATGGAGCGATAGAATTCCATAGATGTTCTAATTCAATTATTAAATTGCGTGGTGGCCTGGAGGTGGAGCTTTCGCCTCAGCATCAGGAGGTTGTGTGTTCGATGCTAGGTAGCGGCAGATATTTCTCTCTCAGGGCACAAAGAAGGAAATATCTGCTGTGAACTCCCCCTAGGCGTCAGGAAGGGCATCCGGTCGGTAAACGCTCAGCTCCATGCAGACTCCACCCTGATGCAAGGGCATTACAAGGTCATTGTCAGAGGGGAAAAAATATGTTATAATTCGATATCTAAGGCAGCTAACTGGTCCTGGCGTGGCTGCGGTGAGCACCTCTCAGGTGCCTTGAAATTTTCCTGAGGGGACACTCTTGAAAGTAGAAATCGTTGCTAAGCCCCTGGATTCACCTCCATTGCTTTGCTTTCCTCTCCTCTGGACTCTTGGAAGAGGCACCCTCCTGCGCAGGCTGAAGGACTTCAGCGCGGCCATTGACGACTACCTGAAGGCCGTCGAGCTGTGCCGTGCCGACGAGGCCAGCGAGGTGCGTAGCGAGGCTGAGAAGCAGGTGCTCCTGAGCTACAACGACTTTGCCGTCCACTGTTACTTCAAGGGCTGCTACGAAGAGGCGGTGCTGCTGCTCAACAAGGCGATCAAAGGGGAGAAGAACGAGTTCGGCCTCTACATCAACCGAGGGGGTAGGTGAAGAAGACGCCTCTGCTTTTCCCCCGTCTTCCTCCCCGCCATGGGCCTCCGGTGGTCTCCGCGGAGGAAAAGCACAAGGGGTGGTGTTTGGGGGCAGGCCCGAGATCTCCAGAGCTATGATGGAGGGGGTCCTTGGTGCTCTCTGAGCTGGGCGGCTTTCTTGCAGACGTTTCGTTACCCAGGTAGGTAATGTCATCAGTGCTGGAAGAGAGTGGGAGGAGAGAGGAGGAAGAGGAGGAGGAGGAGGAGGAGGAGAAGAAAGAAGAGGTGGAGGTGGAGGAGGAGAAAGAGAAGAGGAGGAGGAGAAAGAGGAGAGGAGAGGAGGAGAAAGAAGAGGAGGAGGAGAAAAGAGCAGGAGGTGGAGGTGGAGGAGAAGAAAAGAGCAGGAGGAGGAGGAGAAGAAAGAAGAGAGGAGGAAGAGGAGAAAGAAGAGGTGGAGGTGGAGGAGGAGAAAGAAGAGGAGGAGAAAGAAGAGGAGAGGAGGAGAAAGAAGAGGTGGAGGTGAGAAAGAAGAGGAGGAGAAAGAAGAGGAGGAGAAAAGAGCAGGAGGTGGAGGTGGAGGAGAAGAAAGAGAGGAGGAGGAGGAAGAGGAGAAAGAGAAGAGGAGAAAGAAGAAGTGGAGGTGGAGGAGGAGAAAGAGAAGTGGAGGAGAAAGAAGAGGAGAAAGAGGAGAGGAGAAAGAAGAGAAGGTGGAAGTGAGGAGAAAGAGAAGAGGAAGAGAAAAGAGGACGAGGAGGAAGAGAAAAGAGCAGGAGGTGGAGGAGAAGAAAGAGAAGAGGAGGAGGAGAAAGAGGAGGAGGAGAAAGAAGAGGAGAAGGAGGAGAGGAGAGGAGAAAGAAGAGGAGGTGGAGGTGAGGAGAAAGAGAAGAGGAGGAAAAAAGAGCAGGAGATGGAGGAGGAGGAGGAGGAGAAAGAGAAGAGGAGGAAGGGAAGAAGGACTGGGTGATCCTTGGTGCTCTCTGAGCTGGGTTGTTTTCTTGCAGACGTCCCATTACCCAACTAAGTAAGATCATCAGTGCTCAGTGTTACATAGTTTGGGTAATGAAACATCCGCAAGAAAATCACCAAGCTCAGAGAGTACCAAGAACCACACAATCCTCCCCCTCCCTCTCTCCCTCCCCCTCCTCCCCCTCCTCCTCCTCCTCCTCACACCCTTCTAGCACTGATGATGTTACCTACCCTGTTTCCCCCCAAATAAGACCTCCCCTGATAATAAGCCCAATTGGGCTTTTGAGCGCATGGCAATAAGGCCAAGCACTTATTTCAGGGTTCAAAATAATATAAGACAGGGTCTTATTTTCGGGGAAACACGGTTTGGGTAAGAAAACCACCAAGCTCAAGAGAGCACCAAGGACCCCCTCATTTCAACCCCTTAGATCTATGGTTGCATGCAGGGAGTGGGGGGCTTTCCCAGTGGACAGAGAGGCAGGGGAGCTGGCAATGTGCGATGGGCAGGAAGAGGGCGAGGATGGACCCTTCCAAGCAACTCACAGAGTCTGTCTGTAGTTATGCAGATCATCGTTTTTAACCTGGCAAGATTCTGTCCATAGACGAACGGCAATAAACTACTCGTCTCGTTCTTGGTTCTTTGGGCCTGAGAGCCATTCCCACTTGCCTGCTGATGGATTTTTGCTCTTTCTCTCTCTTTCTTTCTCTCCCTCCCTCCTTCCCTCTATGTATAATCTATGTCTGTCTGTCTGTCTGTCTGTCTGTCTATCTATACCTATCTATCTATCTATCTATCTATCTATCTATCTATCTATCTATCTATCTATCTATCTATCTACCTACCTACCTACCTATCTACTTACCTACCTACCTACCTATATCTATCTATCTCTATGTCCATCCATCATCTATCATCTATCGCTTCTCCCTCCCTTTCTCTCTCTCATCTCTCATCTATGTATTTCTGTCTGTCTGTCTGTCTGTCTGTCTCCATCCCTCCATATGTCTGCCTGTCTGTCTATCTACCTACCTACCTACCATCTATCTCTGTCTGTCTATCTCCCTACCTACCTACCTACCTACCTATCATCTATGTCTGTCTGTCTGTCTATCTATCTATCTACCTACCTACCTATCATCTATCTCTACCTATCTACCTATATCTATCTTAACTCTATGTCCATCCATCATCTATCATCCCTCGCTCCTCCCTCCCTTTCTCCTCTCTCATCTCTCATCTATGTATTTCTGTCTGTCTGTCTTCTGTCTGTCTGTCTGTCTCCATCCATCCATCCATCATCTCTCTCTCTATGTCTATTAATCTATCTATCAATCTATCTCTTAAGTCCATCCATCATCTTCATCCCTCGCTCCTCCCTCCCTTTCTCTCTCTCATCTCTCATCTATTTCTGTCTGTCTGTCTGACTGTCTCCATCCATCCATCCATCTATCCATCTATTATCTCTCTCTCTCTCTCTCTATATATATATATCTATTAATCTATTTATCGATCTATCTCTTATGTCCATCCATCATCTATCATCTCTCGCTCCTCCCTCCCTTTCTCTCTCATCTTTCATCTATTTCTGTCTGTCTGTCTGTCTGACTGTCTCCATCCATCCATCCATCCATCCACCCCCCCCCTCTCTCTCTCTCTCTCTGTCTCTCTCTGTCTCTTTCTCTCTCTCAGACTGTTTCCTGAAACTGGGCCAGCTGAATTTTGCCATGGCGGATTATCAACAAGCTTTAGAGCTGCGTCCTTTAGATCCCAAACTCCGGCGTCGCATCGCTTGGCTCTCCAACGAGACCGGATTGCAAGACTTCCGCGGAAAGTAGGCTGGGATCCGTTGGGAGGGCTCGTGGCCAGATTTCCTCGGAGGGGAGCGCTTGTCCCGTAAGATGGCCCTTAACGTAGATCATCTTCAGACCTTGGTTTCCCCCCCCACCCCAGTTTTAGAATAGTTGGAAGGGACCTTGGAGGTCTTCTAGTCCAACCCACTTTTTAAGGCAGGAATTTTATTCCTCTTGGTCGTCGTTCTTCGCAACAGCCCAGCGAAACAGGCAACTGGGACCGAGATTCAAGAAGAGATTGGGCTGCCGTCTGTCAAAAATGGCGTAGGGTCTCCTGCTTGGGCGGGGGGTTGGACTGGATGACCTACAAGGTCCCTTCCCACTCTGTTAATCTGTAGCTTTGTGTGTGTTTTCAGGCAGTATTTGCAGGCTGAAACGCATTTCTCCTCTGCCGTGGACAACGATCCCTGGGAAGTGAAGTATTATCTGAACAGGGCGAAGACTCGCGTGTTCCTGCAGGAGTTCCTGGGAGCTAAAGAAGACATGATCAGCGCCCTGCTGCTGAACCCCAACAAGGAGGAGGTGGGTCGAGGTAGTCCCCCCACTTTACGACCACAATCGTGGCCCCAAATTTCCACCCACCTTAAGGCTTCTGGGAGTTGAAATCCCAGCACTTAAAGCCGATGAGAGTAATATTTTATTTATTTATTTATTTATTTATTTATTTTATTTCTCTACCGCCCTTCTTCCGAAGGACTCAGGGCGGTGTATAGCCTAATTAAAGACACAAAGACAGACAATATTTAAAAATAATTAAATTTATTTATTTATTTATTTATTTAAATTTGTATACCGCCCTTCTCCTAGTGGACTCAGGGCGGTGAACAGCCAGAGCTAAAACACATACAGATACAAAATTTAAAATTGTTATTATTTAAAATTATTAAATAATAGTAATAAACACCACACACACACAAAAACCACACCCCAGATTTGTAGACACCTCCATGGGTGCAATAGAAGCTCCTCCATTTTGAGCATAGCTTTTTGATTTAAAAAAAAACGTTAACCGGTTTTATTTTTTTTTTTTTTTTTTAAATTCCAGGTCCGAGTCTTGATGGGCAACCTCTTTCCGGGAGAGAGCGCAGAATCCCTGCTCAACAGCAAAGTTGGAGATTTGACCAAAGCTCTCCTGGATCGAAAGCTGAAATCTTTCCCCGGGGGAAAAGCCTTGCAGAGGTATTGAATCGAAAACCACGAGGGGGACGGGGGAGTTATATTATTTTCTGGAGACCCGGACATGTTGGGTTTTTTGGGGTGGGGGTGTCTCCCTCAACCTTGGTAGGAGCCTTGGTAGTAGTGGTCTAAAGCACCCTGTTATTAAGACCAGCTGCCTGCAATTACTGCAGGTTCGAATCTCGCCAAGGCTCAAGGTTGACTCAGCCTTCCATCCTTTCTAAGGTAGGTAAATTGAAGACCCAGATTGTGGGGGCAATAAGCTGACTTTGTATAAATATACAGAAGGATGAAGGCTATTGCTTAACACATTGTAAGCCGCCCTGAGTCTCCGGAGAAGGGCGGCATATAAATAAATAATATTAAAAAAAAAAAACAATCTCATTTTCCCCTTCTCTATCGGCACCTGGGAACTTCTCGGTCAGCTGGGAGAACTGATCTCTTTCCTGCCTTTGGGCCACCTCTGCCCCTGCCTTTGGGCCAGGAAACTCTGCAACCCTTGCCAGAGCAGACGGGAGTTGTAGTCGTCTGCAGCACGGGAGATCCCCCGCGCACGAGCTCCGTTTACTTCTGCGCAGCCTTGGTCCCTGTTGGGTGCCTTGCGTTCCTTTGCAGCACCGTCCCTTAATTAAGACCAAGCCCAATCAATAACACCCAGCGGATACAAAAACGAGGATAAACTTCAGTGTGTTGTCTCCTTTCTCGTTCTCTCTTCCCTCTCTCATTCTTTCCTTTCTCTCTCTCTCCCGTTCTCTCCTCTCATTCTTTTCCTCTTTCTTTCTTCCTTTCTCTCTCTCATTGTCTCCTGTGTCTCTCTCTCATTCTCTCCCCTCTTTCTCCCCTCTCTTATTATATCTCCTTTCTTTTCTTTCCTCTTTCTCTCCCCTCTTATTCTCTCCTCTCATTCTCCTTTTTTCCTCTCTCCCGTTCTCTCCTCTCTCTCATTGTCTCCTTTCTCTTGTTCTCTTCCCTCTCTCATTCTTTCCTCTTTCTCTTTCCTCCTCGTTCTCTCCTCTCATTCTGTTTCCTCTTTCTTTCATCCCTTATTATCTCTTCTTTGTCTCTCCTCTCATACTTTCCTCTCTCTCCCATTCTCTCCTCTCTCATTCTGTCTCCTCTTTCTCTCTCCCCTTTTTCTCTCCTCTCGTTCTGTCTCCTCTTTCTTTCTCTCTCCCCTCTTATTCTCTCTCCTCTTTCTCTCCTTTCTTTCTCTCATTCTCTCTCGTTGTCTCCTGTCTCTCTCGTTCTCTTCCCTCTCTTTTCCCCTCTCTTATTCTATCTCCTTTCTCTTTTCTTTCCTCTCTTTCTCTCCCCTTATTCTCTCTCCTCTCATTCTTTCTCTTTCTTTCCTCTCTCCGGTTCTCTCCTCTCTCTTTCTCGTTGTCTCCTTTCTCTTGTTCTCTCATTCTTTCCTCTCTCTCTCTCTCTCTTCTCTCTCTTTCTCATTCTCTCTCCCTCCTCCCTGCTTTTCCACCTTCTCCCAGGCCTCTGAAATCTGCAGGATCCGAACCCCTGATCAACGTGTACGTTCAGATTGAGGACCAAAACTCTGAGACGTCGCTGGCCAAGGAGAAGGAGGAGGTTTCGGAAGAAAAAAAGCTGCAGAAGAAACTATCTGAATGTCAGCAAAAGTCACACCAGGTATGTCCGCCCCTTGGAAGGAAAACAAGACGTTTTATTTATTTACTTATTAAAACTTTACGCTGCCCATCTCCCCCAGAAGCTTGGTCCTTGAAGACTCTGGGGCTTTTCATAACTCTCTGAGAACCATTAAGGGGTCGCAGAGGGTCACAGATCCAGCTACTAGAAAAACAGCCCTGGATGAAGAGATTTACTCTTTTATTTTTTCATCCAGCCCTTTGCAGCTGAAAACATCACAAAAGAAACTTTCCACCCCTTGAGAAGAGTTCTTTTTTTGGTCTGGGATGGTGCGAGGCCGCCTGTCTCGCCAGGGGGTTGGACTAGATGACCTCCAAGGTCCCTTCCGAGTCGGAGAAGAAATGGTGGCCGGTGGAGTGGCAGGGCGAGGTCCCACCCCTGCCCTGCCAGGTCAAAAGCAAAAGAGGCCAACAATTCTAACATAGGAGCCGTGGGTGGCGCAGTGGTTAGAATGCAGTATTGCAGGCTAATTCTGCCCACTGCCAGCAGTTCGAACCTCACCGGCTCAAGGTTGACTCAGTCCCTTCCATCCTTCTGAGGTGGGTAAAACGAAAACCCGGATTGTTGGAGACCAGAGGCTGGCTCTGTAAACTGCTTAGAGAGGGCTGTGAAGCACTGTGAAGCGTTATATAAGTCTAAGTGCTATTGCTATCTATGTCTGACTGCGTGCCTGCCTACCTAATTTATCTATCTATCCATATCTATCTATCTATCTATCTATCTATCTATCTATCTATCTATCATCTATCTATCTATCATCTATCTATCTATCTATCTATCTATCTATCTATCTATCTATCTATCTCTATCATCTCTATCTCTCTCTCTCTATCTTCCATATCTATCTATCTTTCTGTCATCCATCTATATGTATCTATCATCCATCCATATCTATCTATCTATCTATCTATCTATCTATCTATCTATCTATCTATCTATCTCTATCTATAGATAGATATATCTATCTATATATCTAGATATAGATATATCTAAAGCATATATATCTATTTAGATATATCTAAAGCAACCATCAACACAGTGAGTGGGAGGGGCAGATATGGCGGAAGCTGGGGACCATATCATGTTCGGGGAATGCGCACTCGCTATCTTAGAGCGATTGCGCACTCCGGTCCCCAATGCTTTTCTTGTTCCCCAGGTTGTCCAGATTCTCAGGGCCAGAGCCTCCGGCTGATGTTATGCAATGCCAGGTCCGTTGTTAATAAAGCCCCCCTCATCCACGATCTTATTCAGGAGGGGGAGGCGGACCTGGCGGGCATTACGGAGACCTGGTTGGGCCAGGAGGGAGGAGTCCCCCTCGTGGATATATGCCCACCAGGCTTCCGTGCATTTCATCAGCCGAGGGCTCAGGGCAGGGGCGGGGGGGGGGGGGGGGGGGGTTTTATAAATAAAGAAGTCTGGATCCAAGGGAGACCACTGTTCCACAGATAGCCGGATGTGAGTCCCTCTTTGTGAAGTGGGGTCGTGGAGTACAGATGGGCTTGTTGGTCACGTACCTGGCTCCCTGCCACGTGGCAACGGCCCTGCCCGAGCTCCTTAACGTTATAGCCGAGGTGGCGGTGGACACCCCCAGACTTGTCATCATGGGAGATTTCAACCTGCCATCTATCGGTGAAACGTCTGAAGTGGCTCGAGAGTTCATGGCTTCCATGACGGCCATGGACCTTACTCAGTTAATTCATGACCCCACTCACACAGGGGACACACTCTGGATTTAGTTTTTGTCTCTGGTCAGCGGTTGAGTGGCCTTGATACAGGGGATATAGCCATCGAACCCTTGTCATGGACTGACCACACTCGCTCCTTCGACTAGACTTTCTAACCGCTGCACCCCGCTGCAGGGAGGCGGGACCGACCAGATGGTTCCGCCCCAGGCGCCTGATGGACCCTGATAGGTTCCAGATGGAGCTTGGGCCATTTCCTGAGATTCTGGCTCATGACTCGGCTGAGGACCTGGTGGCCGCCTGGGATAGTGCGGCTGCCGGGGCCTTGGACCGAGTCGTGCCTTTGCGGCCTCTGACCCGGCACCGAACTCACCTAGCTCCTTGGTTTACTGAGGAGCTTAGGGAGATGAAGCGCCGGAAAAGACGCCTGGAGAGTAGTTGGAGGACCAGCCGCTCCGAATCTGACCAAACACTGGTGAGGTCTCATATTAAGATCTACCTAGTGACGATAAAAGCGGCGAAAACTAGCTATTTTGCCGCTCTTATCGTGTCATCAGATAATCGCCCAGCTGCCCTGTTTAGGGTGACCCGCTCCCTCTTCCATCTGGAAGCGCGGGATGACCCCTTGCAGGGTCGAGCTGAGGATTTTGTGCAGTATCTGTATGACAAAATCGCTCAGATTCGGGAAGGGCTGGCCTCTGACTGGGTATGTCCAGACGGGATGACTGAGGCAGGTCTTGAGAGTGTTATCTGGGGGGAGTTCGATCCTGTGGCTCCCGAGGACATGGACAGGGTCCTGGGACGGCTGAACGCGACCACATGTTTATTGGACCCGTGTCCCTCCTGGTTGGTACTGGCTTCCCGGGAGGTGACACGAGGCTGGCTCCAGAAGATTGTTAACGCTTCTTTGAGTGAGGGGGTCCTGCCGGCCGCTTTGAAAGAAGCGGTTGTGAGGCCCCTCCTCAAGAAGCCCTCTCTGGATCCGGCTGTTTTGGCTAACTATCGTCCAGTCTCCCAACCTTCGCTTCGTTGCGAAGGTTGTTGAGAGTGTGGTGGCGCAACAGCTTCCCCGGTACCTGGATGAAGCTGTCTATCTAGATCCGCTCCAGTCCGGCTTCCGGCCTGGGCACAGCATGGAAACGGCATTGGTCGCATTGGTGGATGATCTCTGGAGGGCCGGGGATAGGGGTTGCTCCTCTATCCTGATCCTGTTAGACCTCTCAGCGGCTTTTGATATCATCGACCATGGTATCATGTTGCACCGGCTGGCGGGGTTGGGGGTGGGAGGCACCGTTCTGCGGTGGTTCTCCTCCTACCTCTCTGACCGGTCGCAATCTGTGTTGACAGGGGGGCAGCGGTCGACCCCGAGGCACCTTGCTTGTGGGGTGCCACAAGGGTCGGTCCTCTCGCCCCTTCTGTTCAACATTTATGTAAAGCCGCTGGGTGAGATCATCCGTGGCTTCGGGGTGGAGTTCCATCAGTACGCTGATGACACCCAGCTGTACATCTCCACCCCAGGCCACCCCAACGATGCCCTTGAAGTGATGTCCCAGTGCCTGGAGGCCGTGCGGGCCTGGATGGGGAGAAACAGGCTCCGACTCAACCCCTCCAAGACCGAGTGGCTGTGGCTTCCAGCGTCCCGATATAGCCAGCTGATGCCATCGCTGGCTATATGGGTGAATCACTCGCCCCCCACAGAGAGGGCTCGTAACTTGGGCGTCCTCCTGGATGCACGGCTGTCTTTGGAAGATCATTTGACGGCCGTAGCCAGGGGGGCTTTCTATCAGGTCCGCCTGATACGCCAGTTGCGCCCCTTTCTAGATCGGGACTCCCTACGTACAGTCACTCAGGCACTCGTCACTTCCCGCCTGGACTACTGCAACGCTCTCTACATGGGGCTCCCCCTGGGGTGCACCCGGAGGCTCCAGCTGGTCCAGAACGCGGCCGCCGCGCGGGGGATTATGGGGGCAACGAGGCGCTCCCATGTGACACCTCTCCTGCGCGAGCTGCACTGGCTCCCGGTGGTCTTCCGGTGCGCTTCAAGGTGTTGGTGACCACCTTTAAAGCGCTCCATGGCTTAGGGCCAGGGTACTTACGAGACCGCCTTCTGCCACCAATAGCCTCCCACCGGCCAGTACGCTCACACAGAGTGGGCCTCCTCAGAGTGCCGTCCGCCAGACAACAATGTCGGCTGGCGACCCCCAGGGGGAGAGCCTTCTCTGTGGTGGCGCCCACCCTCTGGAACAACCTCCCCCCAGAGTTACGGATAATAACAGACCTCCGGATTTTTCGTCGGGCCCTGAAAACCCATTTATTTCAACTAGCTGGGCTGGCTTGAGTCAAATTTTAAACTGATTTTAAATTGGAATTGTTTTTAATTACGGCCAAAAGATTTAATTATTTAATCAGTTTTTAGATTTTGTATGTTTTGTATGTATGTCTTGTTTTATTTTGGCTGTTCACCGCCCTGAGTCCTATATTGGAGAAGGGCGGTATAGAAATTTAAACAAATAAAATAAATAAATAAATAAATCAAACGAGGTCGATCAGACGAAGACCCAGATTGGTGGGGGCCAAACGCTGACTCTGTAAACCGCTCAGAGAGAGGGCTGTGCAGCGGTATAGAAGTCTAAGCGTTAGGGCCGTTGCTATCACCGCCACTTAAGTCAGGTTGAAACGAACGTTGGGGACCCTGTGCGGAAGGCGGGTCGGAGCGTCCGGTTGGCCCGCGGCAAATTGTCCCGTGTGTCTCGCAGGCAAACGAAGAGCTGAAGGATGCTTATCAAAATAAACCAGCGCTGGAATCCAAAACTGTCTGGATAGACCCCTGCCCTCGTCCGCCCCCCAAGGATTGCCCCAAGGAACCGTACTGCTGGAGGAAATTCTAAGAAAAGGCGTCGGTCCGTTTTAGGCCTGTCCGAAGCATCGGCCTTGGGACGGAAACCCCTCTCTCCCCCCCTTCTTCTTGCTTTTCTCCCCAAAATATCCCAAATTCCTAGTGAGTCAAACAAACCGGATTTCTCCTGCTTGCCAGTTCAAAAACCCCACGAACTATCTGGATTCACCCTTAAAAGAGTTAGGATCCCTTGGCCAGATTTTGCTCGGCTAAGAGGCTTCGTTTCTGTAACCAAAACCCCAAAATCTTGGAAAGGGCTGGGGTGTGTGTGATGCCATCCTTCCTTCCCTTTGGGGCCCTGAGTGACTTGTGGCAGACCCCCCGTTAAAAGTCTACCCAGTGAGAAAAAGCAGTTAGCACCAGAATAAATCTTTTCCCCGTAATAATTGCTTGAACTATCGGAAATCTGCAAGCTCACTTCTGTTGCATTTTTTTTTTCTAGACTCTGGAAAAAGACTTGATATATAAAGTTGCCTGCTTTTCCTGCTTTTTATTTAAATAAAGCAACCTTTTGAAGACCTTCAGGTACGTCCAGGTTTTTCATATTCATTGTGCGTTTGAATCAGCAACAAACCTGGATAAGAAAGGGGCTGCTGGTATTTTCGTGCACGCAGCTCTCTCTCTTGCCCTCCCTTCTTTCTCTAGGTAAAAGGTAAAGGTAAAGGTTCCCTTCGCACATACGTGCTAGTCGTCCCCGACTCTAGGGGCGGTGCTCATCTCCGTTTCAAAGCCGAAGAGCCAGCGCGGACCGAAGACTTCTCCGTGGTCATGTGGCCGGCATGACTCAACGCCAAAGGCGCACGGAACGCTGTTACCTTCCCACCAAAGGTGGTCCCTATTTTTCTACTTGCATTTTTTACTGCTTTCGAACTGCTAGGTTGGCAGAAGCTGGGACAAGTCACGGGAGCTCACCCCATTACACGGCGCTAGGGATTCGAACCGCCGAACTGCCGACTTTTCGATCGACAAGCTCAGCGTCTTAACCACCGAGCCACTTTCTCTCGAGAGGGTCCCAATTTTTGTGGGCCACGGATTCGAATCTGGGCGGCACGTCTCGCGAATGGCCTAGTTTCGCTCGCAGCCACCATACATTTCCACGATAAAAAAAAAATTAAATAAATCACTACTTCTCATCTTCCCTGCCTTTTAAAACTAGCAGCACTCAGACAGAGCGGATTTCAATATATTTTTCCGACTCTTTTAACTGTTCAAGTTGCTCTCTGCACCAAAAGGGATAGAAAAAAAAGAAGAGAGAGAAAAAAGATTATTTCTGGCTGGTGCATTCTTGAAACCGCCGAGAAAAACAATCTCTCGTTGTTGATGTGTTTTTAAAAGTAGCTGCGTGTTGGTGTAACCTTTTAGCAACAACCCGCATCTCCGTCCATCAAGTTGACACCGCGGGGAATTCCCTGCAAAAAAAGTCCCTGAATTAGAATTGTAAAATACATCTTATTGGATTTTTTTTTAAAAAAAAATAAAATCACAGAATAATCCTTGACTTGAGAGGTAGGATTTTAAGAATCCCCAGAAAAACGAATTAATTCAACTGCGGTAAACCTGTAAAACCTCCGAGAAAAAGTGTTTTGAAAGCGGACGAGATCCCCCACATAATGCATCACACAATCTTCTTTTTTTTCCCTTTTCTTTTTGAGTTCAAAAAAAATAAAATAATCCAGATTCCGGCTGACTTGTAAGGAGAAGGAAAATGTTTGATCAAGCCAAACGTTATTCTTTGCTTTTTTCGAAAGGCCCCGTACCCTTAAGTCTTTCAGTTCAGCTGACTTTTTCGCGACCCGCAAAAGCTTGGACGAAAACCGTAAAAACTCCATTCCGGACCGAAAACGCCTGCCCAAAAAAGGCGTCATAGGAAAAACGGGATGCGGGAAGACACAGTTTTGCATCCGGTGGAAGAGAAGATTTTTTCCTCCTCGGGGAAGTAGGAAAAGCTGTCGGCCACGCCGTCTACGACGTCCGGGCTAGGGGTGAGACCCTGGCCGGCCATCTCGTTGACCACGCACTGCTTCACGTGATGTTGTCGCAGGGGGAGGAAGGGCACGAAGATGTCGATCAGGTTTTGCTCAAGGATCCCGGATCGCCAGAATCCGTCTGAAAGAGACGCGAAGGAGGACGAGGGTGAAATGATACCGAAGAGGCATGGGGGACCCCGAATTTCTATCCCTCTTTGTTTCAGGGTCATTAGATTATGGTAGTGGTCTTTTTTTCTTTACCACTGATCCCCGTTAAATACCTTTTGTGGCCACGGGGACCTGGCCAAGGGGACCCCCCCCCCCCAGGCTTAATTCAAGATTTAAATCGTAACATTGGTGTAAGGCAGGGATCAGCAACCTTAAACACTCCAAGAGCCATTTGGACCCCTTTCCCACAGAAAAGAAAACACCGGGAGCCACAAAAACCCTTCCCGTGCCTGACTATTTCCTGAGCGGCCACAAAACTAGCATATGTAGTTGAATTAAACGTTCTGTTTTCTTCTGAAACTTTTCTTGGATTTATCCATGGTTGGCCTACTGGGGGTTGGAAAGCTCAATAAATCGTGTGCCGGCGGGTGTCGCACATTGGCGGTTGTGAGGCGTATTTTGAGTGACAAGGAGCCACAGCAGAGGGATGAAAGAGCCACATGCGGCTCCAGAGCCACAGGTTGCTGACCCCTGGTGTAGGGCAGTGATGGTGAATCGTTTCAGCCCATTTGGGGGGGGTTTCAGCCCATTTTTGGGGCTCTTTTGTGGGGCCGTTTTGGGGTTTTTTGGGGGCCATTTTTGAGGCTTTCTTTTGGCCCGTTTTTTCTAAAAATGGGCCAAAAAAGCCTTGAAAACAGGTTGAAAAAAGCCTTGAAAACAGGTTGAAAAAAGCCTTGAAAACAGGTCGAAAAAAGCCTTGAAAACAGGTGAAAAAAAGCCTTGAAAACAGGTGAAAAAAAGCCTTGAAAATGGGCCCCAAAAGGCCTGAAAAAGGCCGTGCTGAGGCCAAAAAAATCAGTCAGCGGGTAGGCGGAGCTTCGGCAATATTCGGTCTATAAGACACACAGACATTTTTGCCTTTTGGGAGACAAAAAAGCGCGTCTTATAGTCCGAAAAATACGGTATTTTCATCCAGTATTTTTTTTTTAGCTTTTGGGCACGTCCAGTTTTTTTAAGATCGCAAGTGACCCACCAAGGCTGAACGGTTTTCCATCTTTTTTTCTCCCCTCCCTCCCAAGATACTCACTTTGGGGGTCTTTAGAAATGGCCTCCAAAATAGACGCTTCCAGGTCCCGGCGGCTGATTTCCTCGCGGTCTCTGCGGTCTCGCCAGAGCTCCAAAGCCATCCGGTTAATCTGGTCCGCTCCCGTATTGCTAAGACGGTCAGAGGAAAGCAACTGAAGCCCAGCGAGAGTTTTCCTGCCCAGGTTTTATTTATTTTATTTATTTTAATTTGATTTATATGCCGCCCTTCTCCGGAGACTCAGGGCGACTTACAATGCGCTCAGCAATAGCCTTCATCCTTTTGTATATTTATACAAAGTCATCTTATTGCCCCCACAAACTGGGTCCTCAATTTACCTACCTTAGAAAGGATGGAAGGCTGAGTTGACCTTGAGCCTGGCGAGATTCGATCTTACTTTAATTGCAGACAGCTGGTGTTAAATTACAGTGCTTCTGTCTGTTGAGCTAAACCAGGCTCCTTTTTACACAGTAGAAGCACAGATTAAGGCGAAACCTGCCTCCAAAACAGTCACTGTGAGAGGGACCTTGGAGTCCTAGTAGACGATCCCTTAAACAGATGCCAGTTGTGTGCGGCAGCAGCCAAAAAGGCTAACACAATCCTCGGTTGTATAAACAGAGGCATAGAATCAAAATCATTTTAAGTATTAGTAGCGCTTTATAAAGCCTTAGCAAGGCCACACCTGGAGTACTGCATCCAGTTTTGGTTACCAGGTTGCAAAAAAAAGACGTTGAGACTTTGGAAAAAAAAAAGTGCAAAGAAGAGCAACTAAGACGATCAAAGACCTGGAGACTAAAACATACAAAGTTCGGCTGCAGGATTTGGGTATGGATTGTTAGGGTGTGTGTAAAAAGTATTTGTTGCTTGTGCAACGAGCAGAGCAGAAACACACAGGGAAGGAGATAAACGTGCAGCTCGTGTGAGAAAAATACTTTATATACAAGATAATAAGCAGTCTCGGTGTAGGTAAAAACAGTCCAAGGTCATAAACAGTAATATCAGTCCAGTAAGTATCGTCCCTTACCAAAGCAAACAGACTTTAGTAACTCTCGGTATACAGTACCATATAACAATCCAGTCTAACACCAATCACCAGAAAGACGCAGGAAGCAACAGGAACAATCAGGAACAAAGAACGCTTCTCTGCGCTGCTTATTTATGCACTGTAGCCTAATTACAGAAAAATTAGCAGTATTCCAATATTTGAGGGGCTGCCCCAAAGAAGAGGGGGTTATTTTCCAAAGCACCAGAGGATAGGACACGAAACAATGGATGGAAACTAATCAAGGAGAGAAGCAACCTGGAATTAAGGAGAAATTTCCTAACAGTGAGGACAATTCACCAGTGGAACAGCTTGCCACTAGAAGTTCCCGGTGCTCCATCACTAGAGGTTTTTAAGAAGTATCTAGACAGCCACTTGTCTGAATTGGTGTAGGATCTCCTGCCTGAGCAGGGGGCTGGACTAGAAGACCTCCAAGGTCCCTTCCAGCTCTATTCGGATTGAATGATTGAATGACTACCTCTCCCATATTCCCCAGCCTTGTGTCTAACCCCCACCCCCCACCCTCTCGTTACCTGATAAAGACGAAGATGGCTTTCCGATAATTGGTTCCGAAAACCACCCAGGAAGATCCCAGGAAGGGGGCGACGACGTCCATCAAGCCAGGCTGCAGGTCGTCCATCTCGTCGAAGAGGAAAAGGGATCGGCTACACCGAGTGAGATTTCCCTGGATCCAGTTTCTGAGATCGTCCTACGTAGAAGGGGGGAATGAAGAAGAAGAAGAAAAAAAGAAAAGAATCCATGTTGGAAAAGGATTCCAAAAACAAAAAGGCGCGCTCAGAAACCGTCCATCAGGATATAAGCGAAAGCGGGTGGGGGGACTCCAGATCCCATCATCCACACCCAGGGGATGTAGCCGCCCTACGGTTATATAGGTATCTCCCTTCCAGTCCCTGTCTTAAAAGTCGTCGGCAGGACCGTTAAGCAGTCCTCGACGTACCCCCTTTTTTCCCGCCATTACAGGTAGTCCTCGACTTACGACGGTCCATTTAGTGACCGTTCAAAGTTACGACGGCGCTGAAGGAAGTGACGTGTGACCGGTTTTTCACAGGTTACGACCTTCGATCGTGTGAGCGATCAAAATCCACACGCTTGGCAATCGCTTCACACTTACGACCGCCGCAGAGTCCCATGTGATTCCCTTTTGCGACCGGCCTGACAAGCCAAGTCCATGGAGGAAGCCGGATTCGCTTAACAACCGGGCTCCTAACTTGTCGGCTGCGGCGATTCACTTAACAACCGCCGCAAGGAAGGTCGTAAAAACGGGGCAAAACTTCCCCTAACTGATGTCTCCCTTAGCCGCAGAAATTTGGGGCTCAATCGTGGTCATAAGTCAAGGACTGCTTGTATTGCAGAATTTACAGCAGCACTGAAGAATGTGATTTAAAGCCGGTCCTCGCATTTACAACGGTGGCAGCAATCCCCACAGATTCCACCCCATGATCAAAATTTATGATGATAATTGCATTTTGACCCTCCCCAGCTGGCTTCTGGCAAGCAAGATCAAGGGGACGAAGCCGGATTCACTTAACAACGATGTGGTCCACTCAACGACTGCAAAGACCTCGCTCAAGAACCCCAGCGAGGAAGGTCATAAAATCAGACGTAACTCCTCTTAACAACCGCCTTGCTTGCCGATGACGTTATACCCGTTCAGTCACTGGGCTACTCTTACGCCTTGCTCAGCCACGGAAATTCTGCTTCCGATTGCAGCCATAAGTCGAGGACTGCCTCTAACGGAGCAACGCCCGAGGCTGGGTTTATCGGAGATCCCGGCCACCGATCTGATGTGGCTCAAAATGGGCCGCCAAGCAAAGCCACGGCGGGAGATCAGAAGGTCCTTCGGTTTGCAAGCGTACCGCCTCGTCAGGCTGTTGTGTCCACGGAAGCAAGCGTTTGCATGCAGGGTTTTTTTTGGGGGGGGAAACGGACTCCCCACTGCCCAACCTCTGTTACCTTGTATTGCTGGAGGTGGTCAGCGTGGGGAAAATGAATCAGCGGGGAGAAGCGGTGGACGTAAGGCGTCCGGAAGAGATGCCGGGCCAGTAGGGAAGTCAAGTAGGTTTTCCCGGTGCCCGTCGAGCCGTGGAAGGACAAGACCAGGGGCTTGGCGGGCTCAGGGTCCTGCACGAAGCTCTTCAGGCCTTGGAGGACCAGCTGCCTGGCCAGAGGCTGTCCGACGAGGCTCAGGGCTAACTCGCACTCGAGACCTGGAAGACGAAGAAGGGCTCGAGAAGGCGACATGCCTCCTCTGGCACGTCGGCCAAGATGTCTTCACACGTGGCACGTCTGCATGGCCTGTCCCAAGGGGGCATCTGCCAATGTCTCTTGGCACGGGGGCCACCCCTTCCTGATATTTCTGTGCCCCCAAATATCCTCTCCCCCACCCTTCCTGCCCGATCCTGGGCTTTAAAATTAGGACTGAGAAAACCTCCCCCCCCAAAAAAAAGAGAACCCATAAAATGAACCACTTTGGTTCTCAACAACAACCCTGCAAGGTAGGACAGGTGCAATTAGAATGGTAGAATCTTCCAATTCTATATATTTTATATTATATATATATATTATATATTATATAAAATATATTTTATTGCTGTTGTATTAATCCCAGCCTACCTAGCAGGGCTGTTACTTGGATGGGGAGGGACTCGAACTCGCCTCCCTGCGCCCCCCGCGCCCCCTAGCGGACGTTCCCACCACTACACCCCGCTGCAGCCTCACCCGTTAGATCCGGCAAGAACTCGCATTCGCAGGTCGCCGAGAGGCTGCAATGCCAGGCGCTCGGCCTCCAGAGGGCGCCCGAGAGCATCAACCCCGGCAGAGGCAGCAGCAGCAGCAGCAATAAGAACGGCAGCCGCGTTCCCGCGAAGGCGCCCCCGCCCCTCTCCATGCTGGCTCTCCGCCCGCGAGAGGGTCGGGAAGCGCGCTCCCGCGAACCCTCGTGCGGCGGCCCCAATTCCCGGCCTGCCCCGCGGCCAGGCTCGTGCTCGCAGGAGGGAAGCGAATGAAATTCCCCGCTTCCGCCACGCCGCTGAGAGAAGGGGCGGGGCTTCAGGGGGCGGGGCTTACAGGTGGGAGGTATTTAAGGCTCCGCCTCCCCAACCGTCCCCGGTTTTTTTTTTCCTTTCAAAAAAAAGGGTGGGGGGAATAAGATAGTTTCTGAGGGGAAAAAGAATTGGAAATAAATATATATATCTTAAAAATAAATATTATTACAAGGGCAGGAAGCCAATGAAGGAGAGCTGAAGCTTGAAGGAGGGAAAAGCAATTAAAATTTTTTAAAAAAATTAAAATGTTTTTAAATGTAGAATGTTTTTTTTAAAAAAAAACATTCTAAAGCAAAGAGGAACTTGAAAGAAAAATTGGGGACAAAATTTGGGTGACTGGGAGATTAAAATTAATTTAAATTTATTTTAGGGAAGGGCAATAGATGAGAAAAATGGGTTTGGAGTGAAAAATAAAGTGACGGGGAAAGAAAAATGGGGAAATATCTCAAGGAAAATGGGAGAAAAAGAAAACCCAAGATTTATGAAAAGTTTGAGAAAATACTGTAATATATAGAAGAGGTTTGAAAGGCCGTGAGAAAAAAATGAATTTTAAAGAGGAAAAAAATGGCTTCAGGAAAGGAATTGGTAAAAGAAAAAAACGTAGACAAATGTGGGGTTTATTTAGAAATGAAGGAGAAATGGGTGGGAAAAATGGATGAAAAATCAGCTTGAAAGTGCAATTCAGAAGCAAATCAAAGAAGGAAAATAAGCCTAAAGGGAGAAAAATTGGGAGAAAATGTAAAGCTTATGGAGGAAAAAGGGGATGTTTGCAACAAAAACAAGCCAGGATCAAAACTAACCATGGTCTTCCTTAAGAGAAGCCCTAAGAAATGCCAACTCAAGTGCAAAATGACAAACAAAATCATTGCTGATTTTTGTTCAGGGAATTAATAGAATTTAATATTAGAAATTAAGTTGATTTTCAAGTAGAAATTAGTCAATTTCAATTTTATTGGTCAATTACAACTCCCTAGGAAATTTGTTTCAATTTCTGGTCACTTTCAGGCTTGTTCGGATTTTTCTGGTTAATTTCAGGGGTGAGTGGGTGGAAAATAAACATTTTCCTTGCTGGTTTTTTTTGCCAATTTTAAGCAGGTCTACTCAGTGGTAAAATAAGCTTTTTGTTAATATTGACCCATCTTTACATTTCTTTGAGAGTTTCCTGTGGTTTTCTTAAAGAATTTGAAAGCATTTTTTGTTTCTTTAAAAGAAGCAATGGTTGTTCTTGAGCTATATTGCTAATTTAAAAATGAAAATCTGGGTTTTAGGCAAGAAATTTGCATTTTCCAGTTGCATCTTATGTAGCTTTACTCAGAAGTCAGCTCCACTGGGTTTAAAGAAGACTGCTTTCTTTTTAAGATCAAGCTTGGGAAGAAAGATAAGGATTTTTTATTTTTATTTTTTAAGACATAAAAAGTCCAAAATGTCCAAAAAGGCCGGGCATGCAGTCATAAAACAACCCATCCTTGATCTTATTGGAAACAATTATTTCCATGTGCCTAAATTTGCATTTTCCAATGTGTTCTTATTTAAAAAGTGCACTGTTCCATTCTTCCTAAATAAATTTTTATAGCTCATTTCAAAAAGACAAATGCAGCAGTGAGAAAGTATGTTTAAGCCCACCATAAACCCTTTTTGAAGAAAAAAAGCATAAAAGTTTATTGTATGCAAGAATTGAGGAAACACACTTCATTGTATCTGTACATTCATTTACAAGACCCAAAAGAACAATGTCAATTATTTACACATGAGATCTGAATACATATGTATATATATATATTTATACGTACATATACACCCCATATGGATTTTTTTTTTAAATTTACAAAACAACCCTCATTCCCTGCATCAAAATGAAGGGAAGCAAAAAAAAAAGAAAGAAAAGAAAGGAAGGAAAAGAGAAGGAAAGGAAAGAAAGAAAATAAAGGAATGTTACTTGGCATCAATGAAAGGCCTGAAATTGGAGGCTTTGGGTATCTGGAAAGGAAGATGGCAGTGGCCTAACTTTACCTGATTTTTAAAAATGTATTATTAAATTTATTTACTATCTATCTTGTCATGGGGCTTCGTTGGGTGGTTTATGGTTGATGGATTAAGTTGGGTGTAGAATGAATGTTGGTGATGATCAGAGATGCCCATGAAAATAGAAAAGCTAAATTTTGGAGTTGTTTTACTGTTTGTGGGTGTGCCTTGTCACCCAGGTCCTTCTGAGGTTTTGGGGGAACTAAACAACCCTGATCAGCTCCCCCCCTGAACCCTCAAAGCTGGTGTAAACTGCTCTACTCCATGGTGATGGAGAAGAGAACAGGGGAACCTCAAAGTAATGGGATGAGCCAGGGAGAAGATTCCTGCACTTTTGGTTTCAAACCAGGGGTGAAATCCAGCAGGTTCCGACAGGTTCTGGAGAACCGGTAGCGGAAATTTAGAGTAGTTCAGAGAACCAGCAAATACCACCTCTGGCTGGCTTCAGAGTGGGGTGGGAATGGAGATTTTGCAATATCCTTCCCCTGCCACGCCCACCAAGCCACGCCCACAGAACTGGTAGTAAGAAAATTTGGATTTCACCACTGTTTCAAACCCCACCGTGCGGCACCAAACCCGGGCATGAAACTTGGCTATGAATCTGTACTGAATTTTAACTCAGAAGTTTTGCCTCTTTCGTGAACCCCACTGCAAATCTTCAATACGAATCTGCATGGTTGATGCAGTATCTAACATGCTTGATCAGTGCATTGTTGTCCCTGGTTTGCAAGGTTAGCCATGGTCTCTCCTGGAGGAACTCGGTCGTTGTCAAGTTTTGCAGGAACAAAGTCAACCCGGTGATTGTCAGTATTTCATGCTGGAAAGGCCCTTTTGGGGTGTGGGTGGGGGGCTCAGCTGCTTCCCTTTCGGTCAAACAGTCCCATTGCTTGAGGCACCCCCCCAGTTGCCAGAAAGCAAGCTGCAGGCGCATTGATTGCAATCTCCCCCCCTCCCGTCGTTGTCCAGCTACAGCTCGCTCGAACGCACTGCTGGCTCCAATTTGTGGGACAGAGCGGTGAGAACCTTGTTAAACTTCTCGTAGCGCTCGCTCTGGCTGCTTTCGGCCCCCCGACTCCCCCATAAGAGCCGGAGCTGAAATTCGGTGCTAAAGACTTCCAAAAGTTCTGCTTGTGGTTGGAACCCTGCAGAGAGACGAGAATACAGTTAAAATCCTGCCCAGCTGGACAAGTTTACATTTTTAGATTCTTTGTTCACTTTCATCACCTAAAATGTATGCGTAACCGAGATCAACTTTATCTCTTGATACACAGAAGAGATCTAGCATGCTACTTGAGTGGACTGAGTAATATATGTAAGGGTATGAAGCGGTATATAAGCCTAAGTGCTATTGCTATTATCCTTGCTTCCCAAGATCTGAAGATTACCTTTGAAAATAAATGGCAACAATTATGGGAAAGGAATTACAAATTAACAATGTTCACAGCCTATAAAGAAAATAAATATAAAATGTTTTGCAGATGGCACATAGCATCTGCAAAACTGGCAAAAATGTTTAAAGATAAATCAGCTAGATGCTGGAAATGTCATCAGATACCAGGATCATATTATCATATGTGGTGCACATTCCAGAAGCAAAAAACTATTGGATTAAAGTTAAAATATGGTTGGAAGAAATGATACAACAACATACAGATTTAAAACCTGAACTGTTCCTATTGGGTATCCTACCAGAGAAATTTAGTAAAGAAAATATATATCTGATTATTCATATAATAACTGCAGCGAGGATAGTATTTGCACAAAGATGGAAAGCAGAGAAAATTCCTACAGAGGGTGAAGTAGTTAAGAAAATATTGGATTATGCAGAAATGAATAGATTGACTTTGACAATTAAAGAAAGAGAGGAATTAATTTATTCATTAATTCAAATTCCTCCTGTCTAAATTTCACAGCTAAAAAATACGAAAACTGATCTTCATTGTATAGTCAGCTATGTTCCAAGTCACAATTTGTATAGGGCTCCTGAAAGCAAGATATTCTGACTTGGGTTGATTGACTAGGGAATAAATAAGGCTAATGAACGTCAACTTGTTTTTGGAGCTGGATCAATATTGACGATACCTCCTGTGTAAGCACAATTATTGTAACGTTCAACATTCCTCCTCGTAAGTTGTAATTGTTGGTTTTCTTTATCTTGATTGCTAGTATTCCCCTGTATTTTGCTCTAAGACTGGCATTTCTTACCAATGAACAAGGATTCTGATCATTATTATCTGGTTGTACTGGATGGTTAATTTGGACTTGTCCTGTTACATCCCGCTGAGTATCTTTACTTTTTACTTTGGACTAGCACGCCTTCTCTTTTTATTTGTTGGGGATTTGCTTTCAGATACCGAGCTTGATAACAATTCCACAGAAGAGGGGAGCAGAGTCTTCAAACTTCCTATTGCATTCATTCCCGATTTCAACATTGAACTAATTATTCCGATTTTCTTTAAAATCAACTGTTGATCTCCTGGGCAAAAAAGGGTGGCCAAGTGATGGATTAATTCTTCCTCATCCTCCATAAATCGTAACTTTGCATTAAGTAAATCTGAATTCTCTCTCTCTCTCTTTTTCCCCCCTATAATCGACTTCTTTTATCCTTGCTAATCGGGAAGTTCTTTATTTGGCCGTTAATGGTTTAGCATTTCCAAAGTTGGAATTGGGCACCTTTGGCGTCTTGGATCTCTGCCCAGATTTAGCACAGGCTGGATTTGGGTAATATAAAATGCCCGGATTGACCGAATGCAATATTTCCTTGGAAAGGTTTCAAGCGATGGAAGAACAATATGTCCAAAGGTTAACAATATTCTTTTACAACCATGTTTGCTGGGGAGCCAAGAAATCTGTGTTAGTTCATTAGAATATACCCTGCAGTGTAAAAGTTTGGAAAAGAAAGTTCAGCATGACTCGTCAGTTATGCTTATTTGTCCCTATTCAATCAGCAACTTGGAGTAGGATTTTATTAATAATTTGTGTCTGGAACTCTATTCTTATTTGGCTTACGGGCTAATCAACTAAGCTTGCTGTAAATAGAATTTATGCCACTTAAACTGATCAGTTGTGTGTCCTCACAACACAATGCAATGTCCTGTGATTCAACTGCCACTGTTAAAGTCACATCCTACCCATTAATTAGAGTTTATATGCCATGATTGGGTCACCACCAAACCATTTTGTAGTTTTAGGAGTGGAGGAAACAGCATCAAACTCCTATGAAAGGATTTGCAATTTCCACCGGGTGCATTTCTATCTGGATCCTGCCCTCTAGTGGCTAGCAAGCTTCTCTTTCAAACATTTCTTTCCTTTTCAAACTTTTTAATGAATATTTTCTCTGCCGCAAGCATTTTTTGCTTTACTGCTTCTCCAGGAGGTTCTGGCCGTAGTCATGCCCACTTATTTCTCGGATGGCCTTTTTTTTTTTTTTAGGCCGAGCTACAAAACCAAGGCTATCTATTAAATTTGTTGGCCCACCCATCTTGCCACTTTGGGCTACATAGATATATAAAATCACATTGAAGTTAGCGATTGTGAAATCCCACCGAAATGATTACAGTTTTGAGACGTTTTCTCACAGCCCTGAAAGCCAAATCTTTCCCACGTCCATCTTGCAACGCTCCCTCTTTTTACAAAGCACCCCATATCTCACTTATTTTTTGCTTCTTCTCTAACAAGGAGCAGGGTTTATGTTACCTCTAGCTGCTCAAAACTGCCCCGCGGCCTCTTCTAGGACTTCTCCCCTCCTTTCTTTCTCTCCCTCCGCCATCAGTGCCCTGTGTTCCTTTGTGGCCCACAGCAGGGGTGAAATGCTACCGGTTCGCACCGGTTTGAGTGAACCGTTAGTAATAAAAGCTATCGGTTCGGGCGAACCGGTAGTAAAAAAACCCGGTATTTCCGATGATCAGCTGTGCCGCGTGATTTATATTTGCTAGAAAGCAGGGAATCTAAATCGCGCGGCACAGCTGTCCCCCCCCGCTCTTCTACTTACCTTCTTAATCCTCCTTTTTCCGTGCGAAGCGTGCATTTGATGCACACCGTGCAGTGGCAAACCCCGGAGGATTTCACCACTGGCCCACAGACTTAATTCTCCCACCTCTCAGGTGGGCTTCAGCCCGTATCGCATACCTTGCAGCTTCACCTCCGCGTTGGTGTGGTAGAGTCCCCCGTGGTGAGCCACGGTGCGCGCTGCTTCCAGATGGGCCATAACTATCTCCACGCTGTTATCCAGGTTCTCCCAGGGTTCAGGGTGGTCTGGCAGCACCGTGTCTCTTTCCAGTAGAGTGATGAGAGGCACAATGTGTGGGAAGGTGGTGTTAGATAAAGGTGATCCTTCTGGAAGGAGAAAGAGACAGGGGTTGCCAGGGTCAGCTTTCCCCCCCCCGCGAGCTTCTGCTTCTCAAAATTTTAGAGGGTCTTCGGGGCTTTCTGGATAAACATTTGGGGGTGCAGTATGCTTAACTTTCTTTAGATCTGTGAGGGAGAACCTATGGCACGCGTGCCAGAGGTGGCACGCAGAGACCTCTCTGGGCATGTGCGCCATCGCCAGCTGCTTTTCTGATTTCTGGCGCATTTGCCAGCTACTCTTCACGAGCACCGGAGCACTGAAAAACAGCCTCAAAAATGCCCAAAAACCAGGCTGATTTTCAGGCCTTTTGGGGGCGTTTTTCGGGCTATTTTCGGGCTATTTTCTGGATTGGTTTTGGGGCATTTTCCAGGCTGTTTTTCAGGCTGTTTTTCAGTCAATTTTCTGGCAGTATCTATCTGATTATTCATATAATAAACTGGCAGGTTTTCTGGCAGTTTACGGCCTGAAACCTGCCTGAAAATGCCCCCCAAAACAGGCGAAAAAAACAGACGCACACAACTGATCTTCTGGTTTCCGGTACTCCGGTGCCGAAAACATTCGCCATCGCTGCTTTACATTGTCTCCTCCTGGTCAGGCTTCATCTGTAATATTGGCTTGGAGGCAACATTTAAAGAAGGATTTGGGGGAGGGACGCACATTTCTGCCTTTATTTATTACATTTTTATGCCACCTATCTTCCCTATATAGGGAGATTCTGGGCGCCTTACAAAACGAGTAGAAAAATAAATTAAAATATTAAAACCACACCGATTTAAGATTTTAAAACTATGCTGAAACCAGAACTAAGAGACGGACAGGGATGGGGATGAGATCTCCTTCATACTTCTACTTCGTTATTGATCTACAAAGTCTCCTCTTCAGATACAAATGTTTCTTTTTTTCCTAAATTGTTCCTAATTGCAACTTTTCCCCAAAATTTATAAACTTCAGGGCTACGTTAGTGAGTCCTAAATCCACTGGTTACTAGGCGAGAAATGGCAGATCTCGATAATTTCATTTCAACTGAAGATACCTCGATTGCATTCCCACCCCACTTTCTCCAGTGTGAATTAAGGACTACCCTTATTTTATATATTTAAAAAAAGCTCTAATTGATAATAAAAAACGAGAATGCACATGCGTGTACACAATTAAGAGGCACAGTGAAGAAGTATAAAACTTCTGCTCCTTGCAAATACATTTCTTTGAACTCCTTAAAGAATGGAGTTTGCTCATCAGGTGTGCAAAAATCTATACGCAAAAAGCTGCCCGGCTCACCTTTTCCTTCGTTGAGGCTCTTTAAAAATGGCTTCAGCTTCTTCTCGTACAGAATGGCACCTTCTGTGTAACGCTGGCGTAAAACCATCCAGGTTTGCTCCAGGCGGGAGATCTGAAGGACAAAAGGATAAGGGGAAATAGCCAGTTGTGGGTCAGCGACACTAACCTGGCAAGATACAACAATAGGGCTCGTAACTTGGGCGTCCTCCTGGATTCACGGCTGTCTTTAGAAGAGCACTTGACGGCCGTGACCGGGAGGATTTTTCATCAGGTTCGCCTGATTCGCCAGTTACGTCCCTTTCTAGATCGGGACTCGTTACGCACAGTCACTCATGCCCTCGTCACCTCTCGTCTGGACTATTGCAATGCTCTCTACATGGGGCTCCCCTTGAGGTGCACCCGGAGGCTCCAACTGGCGCAGAGTGCGGCCGCGCGGGTGGTTATGGGAGCAACATGGAGCTCCCATGTAACACCTCTCCTGCGCGAGCTGCACTGGCTCCCGGTGGTCTTCCGGGTGCGCTTCAAGGTTCTGGTTACCACCTTTAAAGCGCTCCATGGCTTAGGACCTGGTTATCTACGAGACCGCCTACTACCACCAACAGCCTCCCACCGACCAGTACGCTCCCACAGAGAAGGGCTCCTCCAGGTGCCGTCGGCCAAACAATGTCGGCTGTCGGCCCCTAGGGGGAGAGCCTTCTCTGTGGGGGCACCGACGATCTGGAATGAGCTCCCCCCAGAGATACGGAGGATCCCGGATCTGCGCACCTTCCGCCGCGAGTTGAAGACGCTTTTATTTCATCAAGCGGGCCTCGCCTAAATCTTCTCCCTTTTAAGTGTAAATTTTAAATTTTTAATGTATTTTAAAATTATGGGTATTTTAAATTATGGGTATTAATTCAGCCAAATTTATTTAATTCATTTTATCTGATTTTAAATTTTGTATATCTATGTGTTTTATTTCATGGCTGTACACTGCCCTGAGTCCTTCGGGAGTAGGGCGGTATAGAAATTCAATAAATAATAATAATAATAATAATACCTCTGGTCTGGGGGCCATAAGGACAACCCAGCCAATAGCATTTGAGGAGGGTGGCAGGGTCTTTTCCTCAGAATATAAGAGGCCCGTGCAAGAATAAGCTCAGCAATGCTGGGAGGGGAAGAAAAATAAGAATTTGGAGTGACACTTAAGCGAAGACTAGAGTGATGTGGTGGCCTAGAGGTGGAAGCCTCGCCTCACAATCGAGAGGCTGTGAGTTCGATCCTAGGTAGAGGCAGATTTTTCGCTCTCTGGGCACCTTGAGATTATATCTGCGGAATATAACTCCGCATTGGCGACAGGAAAGGCATCCAGCCAGTAAATATTCAGCTCCATTCAGTTACCTAGACTCCACCTCGCAAGGTCATTAAAAGATAATGATGACTTAAGTGGAGACTAGGCAGAGCTTCTCTTAAGATGTTCCAGAATTTTTACTCTGGGTCCCCCTTAGATTTCCACATTCTTGTGAAACTTTCCTCCTCACAGCAGCCCCGGTAAATACCTGGGTCATTTCCAGCGCGTTCATCACGGCGGCGAAACTGTACATATTGCCCATGGTGCTCTTCAGCTCGGCCGCCAGCTGAATGGTCTTGTGCAGAAGAGAGGCCCGCTCCTCCATGCTGCCGGTGCACCCCAAAATATCCACCGCGATCATGATGGTCATGGTGTGGAACCTAAGGCGTAACGGGAAAGAAGCCGCCATCAAACCTTGTTTAGCAGCCATGTATGGCTGGATTCTGTGCGACGAGATGTTTTCAAGGACTTTTGAGTAGTTGAGGACTAGAAACTTGCAATCAAGTCCCGTTCAAATCGCCAAATTCTCCCATCTAAAAAAGGTGGAAACCAACTTTGCAGATCTGCCCCCCTTCTTTCTCCATCACTTCTCGACTCTTTTTTTTTTTTTTTTTTGCTTTGTCGACGCTTACCTTTCCAACAAATCCAGCCGAAGTTGATGTCCGTGGGGCAGGGTGAGCAGCTCCATCCCTGAGCTGACTCCCATGAGCCTCTGCATCTCCTTGGTAACCCCTAGTATCCTAGCAACCTGCAACAAAGAGGATGAAGTGGTTTAATCTCTCCGGGGTCCTTGAATGGAGAGAGGGGGGGAAACCCCCGCAAAAAACAAGTGGGGGGAAAAAAACGGGAATCCTAATGACTGCAATAAATTTTGCTTTCCCTATCTCGCCTTTCCGTGCTTTCGTGCTGCCAGGAGGATTTGCCCTGTGCTGTCGAGTCAAATCGTATCGAGGAATCATTGCTTCAGCAAAAAAATAAATAAAAATAAAATAGAACCAAAGTTTCTTCTGCAAGGCATGCTGTGTTCTATTGACCCAGATCAAGAGTCTCTATGCGCCTTTAAGGATTCCCCAACATAATTGCACTGTGATCCTTCCTGAAGTGGATTGCCTCTTCTCCTGCCCCTTCTTTGTCTTTCTGCAGCGATAAAAAGTAAATTTGCAGGCCACGAATTATGGATGAAGATGCGCTGGGGAAAAAAAATGGCTCCTTCCTTTTTTTTCCTCTTTGCAATCGTGGCAGGTACACCCTTTTATTTGGGATGCCTTCAGGGGTGGGCTGCTCGGGGGGTGGAATTTCGCAGGGGTTCGGCAGAACCTCTAGCTAAGATTCTGTGCAGTTCGGAGAAGCCCCAAATCCCACTCCTGGCTGGCCACGCCCACCCAGCCCCTCCCCTCCCAGGAGTCCCCACGCGCCCATTTTGAATGCAGGTAAATGCAGGGCGTGCGAGGAGGCTCAGGGAAGGTGAAAAACAGACTTACCGGAAGTTCGGGAAGGCCAAAAATGGGGCTGTTTCCAGCCTCCGGAGCCTGGGGAGGCCATATTTGCTCTCCCGGAGGCTCGAGAAAAACCTCCGGAGCCCGGGAAGGGCAAAAACGCCCCCCCACTGTGGTGCAGGAGGCCGACTAGGCCACACCCACCATGGCCACGCCTACCCAGCAACCAGGCAGAGAACCCCTTGCTAAAATTTTTGAAGCCCACCCCTGGATGCCTTCCTCGGTCCGGAAACCCCGTTTACACTTCTCTCCAATCATCCATAACTCCTAACGACTCGCGTGCTCGATTCAAGTTAAAAAACAAGGTCTCATCCCGTTCCCCTTTTAAGAATAGAGATAGCATGACGTCACTAAGTGAAATAATGACATCGCTAGCGCTACAAAGTCCTAAGGGAAGGAGAGGACCCCAAGAGACAATAAGGATTACGTTAAATGAACCTCTCTCCAAACCTGATGCCCTTCATATCTCTTGGAGAAGCTGTTATGTTTCTTAGCCGGTAACAGGAAGGTTGAGAAGGAGAGAAGGACGTTTAAATTGGCATTATCACAGATTATTCCCCCCTGATTCAGGAGAGCTGTTCTGTCCCCGTCTCACACATGCACACAAACAGACAAGAGCCTACATGGAGAAACCACCGCAAGGAACAAAAATATCTGTATAAAAATCCAAAAAGAAAACTATCTCCAAGTGCTATTCCCCAGCGTTAAAACTTCTCCCTGACAAATGCTCTTCAGAAGAAAAAAAAGACTTCAGTTTTTCTTTAAAAAATACGGGGTGGGTGGGATGAAACTGACTTTGGCACCATAATGGGGAGAGAAACCCTACAATAAAAGTCTTCCCCCAATTTTCTGGAAGTTGATTTATCTGGAGCAATGTATTCTGGGCAGATAGAGAAGCTGAGTAGATCTGACCCCCCCAAAAAAGGTAAAGGTAAATGTTCCCCTCGCACATATGTGCTAGTCGTTCCCGACTCTAGGGGGCGGTGCTCATCTCTGTTTCAAAGCCGAAGAGCCAGCGCTGTCCGAAGATGTCTTCGTGGTCATGTGGCCTGTATAACTCAACGCCAAAGGTGCACGGAACGCTGTTCTGCTCCCACCAAAGGTGGTCCCTATTTTTCTACTTGCATTTTTTAGGTGCTTTCGAACTGCTAGGTTGGCAGAAGCTGGGACAAGTCATGGGAGCTCACCCCGTTACGCGGCACTAGGGATTCGAACCGCTGAACTGCCGACCTTTCAATCGACAAGCTCAGTATCTTAGCCACTGAGCCACCATGACCCCCTGACCCCAAAAAGACAATCCTAAACGTTCTTTGCCACCAGTTGGGCTGAAAGAAAATAACCCAAAGACACCAGCTCTACGGGAGAACTAGAACTCCCAACCCCTCCCACCCCAGTTTCTAGCCCGGATCTTAACCTCTACAGCTTTCCTTTTTTTTATTCCTATCCTCCTTTCCAAGCACACTTGCCTCTGATTAAAAGAAAACACCAGAAGACAAGAGATGGGCAAAAAAACACCCCCACCACAAACACTCGAACCAGTGCTTGGAGTAAAAGGTAACGCTTGGGAGAAATGGCTGAGCGACAACTACAGCTTCAAACCAGATCAAAACAGAGATTCTTTAAAAAATAAATAAATAGGAAACTATTTCTTATCTGCCTAGTTTTGCCCTCTTCTTCCTTGCTTGGGATCGTGCAATCCCTTCTCTCTAGCAATTTCGTGGATTTTTTTTTTTCCGCCTGATTTTTTTTTCCCCGAGCGGGACTGAATTGGACTTTCTGCTGATGTGCAGATCGCGACGTCTCCCCCGCGGAGAGGCGACCAAGCGGATCGCCTGACACAAGTTATATTGGCTGTGAAAAGGACCAGACCGGCGCATCCCCCCCCTTTTCTTATCGAGCATCCTTAACACCCTCCCGCTGTCCTCACATCCCCGTACCAGGCAATCCACGTGGGTGATATGCTTGGCGAGAGTCCTCGCGTCCCCTTCGGCGAGCAGTTCCTTGATCTTCTTCAGCACCATCATTTCCAAAGGCTTGTTTTCTCCCGGAATAAGCAAGGAGTGGAACAGGGCGGGGTTGAACGAGGATGTCCTTTCCACCACCGGGATCACAAAACCCGCCATGTCCTGCTCCAGCCTCTTTCTGGACCCTGCTTCTCCTTCCGAGCCGTTCAGGACAAACCCTCGCTGGCATTCGTCTCCCTTTAGCCTCTCCACGTAGCTCTTGGTTGGCATTACTTTGTTGTCGGGTGTTGGCCTGTCCCACTGGACTGGAGAAGGCGGGTGAAGCTGGCAGTAATGTCCGGAATCTGGGTCGCTGTAACTGCTGGCAGATGGAGAAGGGGATGCCCTGGAGCATCCGTGGGAAGGGGTCGAGTGGGGGCTGTCCGACAGCTCGCTCTTACTGCCGTTCCCCTGGCATAGCTGCGGCTCGCTAGAGCGTCGGATGACCGGGGACGACGGGGTGGCACCGTTGCCAGCTTGGCTCGCTTGTGGTTTGAGATGAGTAACTGCAAAAAAATAAAGAAGCAGAGAAGCTCGTTTGTCCCACAGATTGAATATTTGCAAGCCGTCAAACCTGCAAGAATGACTCGGCTCGGTGCGACGTTGTGCAAGGTTTTGGAAAGGAGTGCATGCACATGAAATTGAAGCACCGAGAGGCATTTTGTGCCCGTGATATGTGCATAAAGTGGTGTTGCTACTAGCTGAGTACACTTAGTAGTTCTGAGAATGAGGACTCTTCAAAAACCTTCAAAAAGATAAATGGAAGAGTCAGTTCAGCTGGTCAAGTTACGAATGTTATATCTTTATAAGTGCTGATGGCCAAAAGAGCTTAAAGATATAGAAACTGGAGCCTTCTGGATTCAGCTCTTAATTTTTAAGATAATCACGTTTCCTGCCTGATTTCTGTTCTTTTTCTAAAGAATAGCCAATTGGAAGAGCTGTTTGGTCTACAGTAGTGGGCAAAATTTATGGAAACCTTTTGGGAAGAGTGTATTTTCTAAAACTAGCTAATAACATTATTTTTTGGGGGTGGAGTAGTACCCTAAAATTATATATCAATGGAAAGATAATTGAATCAAGGATGTAATGCAATCGCTTTTATGAAGGATTTGCTATTAGAATAGCAGTTACATTATAAAGAAGAAAAGTGAAACACGTAGAAAAAACGAGATATGCAGAAATGATCCCCATAGAAAAAATGAGATATACAAAAATGATCCCCATAGAAAAAATGAGATATGCAAAAATGATCCCCATAGAAAAAATGAGATATACAAAAATGATCCCCATATCAGTTAATACTTAGTTGGGTAACCTTTAGCAAGAATGACGGCCTTACAACGTCTTCCCAGGGAGTGAACCAAGTCTTTGAGTTCTGCAGCTGTTATCATGTGAAACCAAGATTGAATGATGGCTTCTATTAACTGGCTTTTATTGCTGGGTCGCTTCTGACTAACCAGTTTCTTTAGTCGACTCCACTTGGGTTAAGGTCTGGGCTATTCCCAGGCCATTCCAGCAATGGAATAGGATTATCTTGAAACTCCCCCCCAAAAAGTGGTATTATTAGCCATCAAACCTCAAAAATACACTTTTCCCAAAAGGTTTCCACAATTTTGGCCACGACTGCAAGTGCATTTTAAAATTAAAGTCTCCAAAGAAAAGAATGACATCTTGCAAGTCACCCTTAGACGATTACAATTTAGTTCATCACCTCTGCTCCCCCTATGATGGAATTACTTTGCCTGCTTCTTTAAAACAAGGGGCTTATCTGGGTCAGAGGAAACCTGGAGGCCGCATCCTCGCAAGCTTAAAAAAAAAAACCGGACTTCAGCTAGCAACTTTGTGGTTCAGCATCCTGCAAGCACCCAGCTGACGGGTGTATTTGTGGTCAGACCGACTGCTTTTCTGTACCGGTGGAGCAACGGAAGGGAAATAACAAAACAGGTGTTGCAACATCGGAGGCCCCAAAAACTCTTGCCTGAGAGATCACGACGCGAGCACGAAAGGCTTGAAGTCGTGTCGCGCTGTCCGCAGCGTGCATATTTTGTCACTGAGGCGGATTCCCGTTTGCAACAAACCCAGAAAATTCAGGAATCTGATGAAGGGTATTATCAAGGGTGGGACTGAAAAATTTTAGCAACCAGTTCTATGCCCAGTTGCTTGGGTGGGCGTGGCCATGGGGCATGGCCTACTCTGCCTCCTGTACCATGACGGCGGGGGTGGTGGTGTGTTTTTGCCCTCCCCAGGTTCCGGAGGCTTTCCTTGAGCCTCTGGGAAGGCAAAAATGGCCTCCTCCAGGCTCTGGAGGCTGGAAACAGGCCCATTTCTGGACTTGGGGAACTTCTGGGGGGCTGTTTTTCGCCCTCCTAGAGCCTCCACGCAGCCCCTGCACTTACCTTGCATCCAAAACGGGCAGCGTGGAGACTCCTGCGAGGGGTGGGGCCAGCCAGTCTTTGCAATTACCAGTTCAGCGAACCAGATGTAAAATTAGAATCTGGTACGCCTGAACTGGTCCGAACCGGATGAATCCCATCCCTGGGTATTATGCAGTTGCAGCTGTTGTGTTTTGAAACTCTGAATCTTTTAAGCCTCTATTTTATATTGGTGAAAACATATACGCAGGGTTTAAATAAATTCACACACCCCACTGTTTTTTGCCCCCTTCGGACAATGCCCTGCCTTACCAGTGCTATAAGCTGGAGTGGCTGGGGTCTCGGCGATGGGCGACATCGGGGAGTGGAGGTCTTGAATTTGATCCACGCTGACGGCGCAGTTCCGGATGATGTCCCGGTGATGCGGCAAGGAGACACTTAAAGGAGGACGAGATTAAAATGGGTGAAAATCCCCCACGCCCCAAAGAACAGAGCAGAGTTGTAGCATGGGGGCCTGAGACATGAAACCCAGCTATGACAGGTAGCGTTGGGAAAAAAAGAAGAAGAAAAGAAACTATATAGTAACCTAGAAAACCCAATTTCCTTGAAAAGCAGAAGCTCCAATCTGGTTGAGTTAACTAAGACTTCTTTCTCCACCTTAACCCCTTCAGTTGGAGCTGGAGTAATTGCAAAACTGAAGATTCGACTCTACAATTTCCCAATCGCCCTTTTGGGACGTGGGCGCAAAGGGAACCTCCATATTCAGGGCTGGGCTTCAAAAATGTTAGTAAGGGGTTCTCTGCCCAGTTGCTGGGTGCGTGTGGCCATGGTGGGTGTGGCTAGTTGGCCTCCAGCACCACAGCGGGGGTGGGGGAGTTTTTGTCCTCCCCAGGCTCTGGAGGCTTTTCTTGAGCCTCTGAGAGGGCGAAAACGGCCTTCCCAGGCTCCGGAGGCCCTCTGGAGGCCGGAAACAGCCCCGTTTCCAGCCTTCCTGAACTTCCAGTAGGCCTGTTTTTCACCCTCCCCGAGCCTCCACGCGCTCCACCTTAGCTAGAGGTTCTCCCGAACCCCCAGCACCCCACCCCTGTCCATATTCCAAGAATGGAGTTATCCCGAGAGTTTTACCTGGTGGGACACCCATCGCTCCTTGTGATCTTGTCGGCGGTCAGCCCGTCCGTCATGGTGATGCTCCTCCTTTTGATGTGCCCGCCTTTGTGTCCCGAGTGGCTATGGGAGCTGCTGTGCTTCCCATTGGCGAGTCCGTAGCTGGCCTCCAGGTAGCGCAGCGGGAAGGTGCGGTTGATGGGGCAGTAGAAGATGGCATTGCTCTGTTCCGAAATGGGCTTACGGTTCCCTACGTAGAAGCGCACCAAGGCCGGGACGTTGTCGAAGCTCTCCTGCTCGAAGAGGTACTGGATGTGAGTGCGCCCTTCGCCGGATTTCACCATCACCTTGTTGATCTTGAAGTGGAGGGGTTCGTTCCGCCAGCGGCAAGTCAGCACGTAATCACCCAGGCTGGTGAGCGAGTCGCGGATCAAAAAATCCCCGTTCCTTTGCACTAGGCTTTCCGACACCTGGAAAATATTTTTTATGAATAAATAAAGAACGAATCAATCAAAGATAGGGATATGAAGAGGTGAGCCTTGCTGTGCCCTGCTTGGAAAACTGGCCTTCGTACTCGGAATCCTTGGTGAGATGGGTAAAAGGTAAAGGTTCCCCTCGCACATACGTGCTAGCCATTCCCGGCTCTAGGGAGCGGTGCTCATCTCCGTTTCAAAGCCGAAGAGCCAGCGCTGTCCGAAGACGTCTCCGTGGTCATGTGGCCGGCATGACTCAACGCCAAAAGCGCACGGAACGCTGTTACTTTCCCACAAAAGGTGGTCCCTATTTTCCTACTTGCATTTTTTTTAACCTGCTTTCGAACTGCTAGGTTGGCAGAAGCTGGGACAAGTCACAGGAGCTCACCCCGTTATGCGGCACTAGGGATTCGAACTGCTGAACTGCCGACCTTTCAATCGACAAGCTCAGCGTCTTTGCTACTGAGCCACCGCATTCCTTGAGATGGGTACCAACTTGATTAATAAACATAAATGCAAATCAATGAGGAACTTAAATAATAACAATAATAATAATCCAGTGTTAGGGTTTTTATCCGAGGAACCTAGCTAGCGCTATTTAGTCTTCCAAGTGGCAGGGCGCAGGTGCAAGGATTGCAGCAGGGCCTCTGAGCATCTGCAGAGAAGAATAATAAGCCTGGCCCTATGCTGGAGAGGAAGCAGGAAAAGAAACATTTGGTACATTGCTTCGGTTTTGGAAACATTGAAAAGTGCCTGTCCCTGGGTATCTGCTTCCAAAATTGAGGTGCATCGTAAGTTACCCCAAGAATATAAAGGGTCCCTCTGAGGAGAGGGACCCCATTCAGGAGCCAGCAGTGACCCTCTCATCTCCAAAGAGTTTTTAGCTTAACTTGCATTCCTCACACACGAGTGGGATTGAAAAATTTTAGCAACTGGTTCTCCGCCCTGTTGCTGGGTGGGCGTGGTCATGGGGCGTGGCCTACTCGGCCTCCTGCTCCACGGTGAGGCTGAGTGTGTTCACCCTCCCCAGGCTCTGAAGGCTTTCCTTGAGCTGCTGGGAGGGCAAAAACGGGCTCTCCTGGGCCACGGAGGCCCTCTGGAAGCTGGAAATGGGCCCATTTTTGGACTTCCGGTACTTCTGGGAGGCCTGTTTTTCACCCTCCCCAGGCTACAGAGGCTTTTCTTGAGTCTCCGGAAGGGCAAAAATGGCCTCCCCTGGGCTACAGAGGCCCTCAGGAGGCTGGAAACTTCCCATTTTTCGCCCTCCCAGAGCCTCCACGCGGGCCCTGCACTTACCTCACATCCAAAACAGGCCGCGTGGAAACTACTGAGAGGGGCGGGGTGGGGTGGGAGGGGCCAGCCAGTCATTGCAACTACCGGTTCGATGAACCAGATGTAAAATTAGCATCCGGTTCGCCAAAACTGGTCTGAACCAGCTGAATCCCACCCCTGCTCACACAATTATTTTCTCCGTACAATTAATAATGCGATGCAGCACATGTAACATATCTTCGGCCTTTCTATCCTGGAGAGATTCAACTACATGTTCCTCCATTTGTACCACCCATCTAAGACACCCAGGTTGAGGGACCACCAGCATACCCCCCACTTCCCAAGCTGATTCTTCTCCATTCTCTTGATCAACCCAACTTCCGGTGCCATGCTGGCCAGAGGTCCTCTCGGCCAGAAGCTCTCACCTCCCGGGGGATGCGGCCATGATACCAGGCGTGACTCCTTAGGTCGGAGCTGCTGAGCTTCAGCTCTTCTTCCAACTCCTTGTGAAGCTTCTCCGGCGAGGAGTCGAGGATGTACTTCTCCTTGGAGAACTGCGGAGAAGAAGAACGGACTTTTTAGTCAGCCGCTAACCACCACCCGAAATGAAAGGGGAGAGCCTTGAAGCAATAACTTGTGGCATCTCCAAATAGAAGCTTTTGAAAAAAAAGGATTGATTTTTAAACTAAAAAAAGGCAAAGTAGAAGAAAAAGAACAGGACGAGCGGATGGATTGATTCCTCAAAGTTAGCCTGGCCAGAGAGCCCATTTATTTTTGAAAGGCAAACCGGAGTAAGCAACGAGTAACTTAGTTTGTCTGGGGACCGCCCTGCGATCCTAACGTCACCGCTGCAAACCATGTTTTTGACTTCTGAGGGCAGAAAACCAGGTTGTGCCGGGTGCTCTTTCGTGGCGCTTTTAAGAAAAAAACAGGGTTGTGCAAACTCATTGAAAGCTGCCATCCAACGGCGGACCGACGATGGGCCACTTCTCCATCAGCCCTTCGGTTTCAGCACAAACGGGGGGTCCTTCGGTTCAGCACAGTCGTGCCCACGTGGTCGCCATGCTTCCCTGCAAACTGGGAAGGCAGCCAAAAGGAAACGGGGGGGCTGTCGGCTAACATGAGTTGTTGAAGTGGTTTTGAGGGGTGGCGAAGGGCCGGCTGGCAGCAGATGCTCGGCGGCGGAGATCCGCTCGATTGTTCAGGGCACGACTGGTGGTGCGTGGCTGGCAGCTGAAGCCGAGGACGAATCTCTTCTCGGAGGCTTCTGTCACCCTTGCCTCCGTTGTAACCCCGACACAATCATCCTTCCGCTTCTCCGAGCAGAAGAGCTGGTTATTTGGGGAGACACGGATGCGGTCTGAGCATCTCCAGAGAGATGGAGGATAGCCAACGTTTTTGCCGGCAGGCAAACCCAGCAGGTTAACCACATGCCCTCCACCTTGCTTGACCAATTATTGCAAGCAGCTGCTTCCCTCCCCTGCTCTCCGGATCACGGAGAGTTAGGGGCAAAAACCCTCCCAGTATAGTAGAAAGCAAGGAACCTGCTCCTATCTCGGGAGGGGGTCCTGATTGACGGCCAATCTTGATTTGTGAAGTTTTTTCAGGCTCATTTCCGCCTCGCTCCTCCTAAAAATGTCTACCCACTGTTTTCTGCCCTTGAAAAATAATTCCCTTACCAGGGTCGTATTATCATATGTGTGTGGAAGCAAAAAGATATTGGGAAAAAATCTGTATGTGGCTGGAGAAGAATGACGCAACAACATATTGATTTAAAACCGGAATTGTTCCTGTTGGGGATCTTAGCGGGAATTTATAGTAAAGAAACTGTATAGTTGATTATTCATGTAATAACCGCAGCTAGAATTCAGAGATGGGTTTCAGCCGGTTCTGACCAGTTCTGGAGAACCGGTAGCAGAAATTTTGAGTAGTTTGGAGAACCGGTAGTAAAAATTCTGTCTGGCCCCGCCCCCATCTATTCTCTGCCTCCCAAGTCCCAGCTGATCGGGAGGAAATGGGGATTTTGCAGTATCCTTCCCCTGGATTGGGGTGGGAATGGAGATTTTACAGTATCCTTCCCCTGCCACGCCCACCAAACCATGCCACGCCCACCAAGCCACACCCACAGAACCGGTAGTAAAAAAATTTGAAATCCACCACTGCTAGAATTGTATTTGCACAAAACTGGAAAGGCGTAGAGATCCCTATAGTTGAAAATGTGATTAAGAAAATGTGCAGAAATGAACAGATTTTGCAATTCAAGGAAATTGCAATTCAAGGAAAGGAAGAATCAGATTATTATAATACACAGGAGTTCTTTTATCAATGGTTAGAGAATAAATATGAAAGCAGTGTATTGTAAAAATAGATAAGTAAAGAAGAAATGTTAGGTTTATGTTACTTTATCAGTATTATTATTATATTAGTATTAATATAAGAATGAATGTAAGAAATGAATACGGCGGTAAGTTTAATTGTTAAGACACAAAGAATTTTATATCCAGATGACACACTGTTTAATGAAAGATGGAATGTTTGTATTAAAAGAAAATATATTTTTTTTAAAAAAAAGAAAAATAATAATTCCCTTTTTCGGCTGCTAGCCTTTTTTAAACAGCCTCTGTGGTTTTTAGCTTTTCTGAATTGTAGGAGGTTTATTTTTTAATGCCATCGCGGTTGAATTTTGCTTGCAATTGTATCATCGTTTACTGTGCGTGGATTTAGAGATGGGTGTCACCCTTACGCTATGAAGGGTGGGGGGGGATTAGCATTGTAAGCCGCCTTGAGTCTCCGGAGAAGGGTGGCATATAAATCGAACCAATGAATGAATGAATGAATGAATGAATGAATGAATGAATGAATGTTATAATAAGCCAAATTAATATTTGACTCGAAGGAGAGATCCCCAAACCCTAAAATCCACAAATGTAAAACCATTTCTATCGTACGACAATAATTCAAGAGCACAACTTCCACCTAGTTTAAAAGGAGAAAATTGGCATGGGGATGACATCACTGAGACCAAAGAAAGCGTCTTAATTGCTTGCCACCCAAGCTCTGCTTTCTCTCACCTTTGGAGACAAAAACACCGTTTCCTGGCTCACAGTCTTCCTAACAACCCAGCCAATAAAGCTGAAACAAACTGGGCAGACTTCTGGCATGCCCGCAGAATGAATCCCCAACCTTGTTTGCCAACAATTGCGCCACGGGGTACGTGCGTGCAAACACTTCTTTCATAGGCACGAGGAAGACATTTGCAAAGACGTGGAAAATTAACACCATCCCGACGGCTGTGACGGGGGGAAGGCAGACGCTGCCCGAGTCCCTTCGGAGTCTCGGTGCTCCGATTACCTAAGTCAATTGAGTGCATTCAGCTGAAGGAAAAACCCACGAAGATGAGCCTCTTAGCCAAGAGACTGAGAGAAAGAGAACGCTGAGCGCATGCAAAAATTCTTCCCCTTCTGCTTTTTTTTTTTTCCTACTGCTCCGATCACTGCTCTGGTGAAAAGTCTTAAGATGCTGGAGCAGCCAAGTCGATTTAAACTCACCCCGGACTCTGTGGCAATTATTGTCACTGTCCAAGCTACTTGGCAGACTCTGCACCCATTCCTAATCGCTGCGGATGAAAATGCGCGCCTATTGTGACGTTGGCCGTACGAGCTCAATCGATCGGAATAGAGCTGGAAAAAGGGACCTTGGAGGTCTTCCAGTCCAACCCCCTGCTGAAGCAGGAAACCCTATACCAGTGATGGCTAACCTTTTTGCCATTGCGTGCCGGGAGCAAGGGGGGTGTGTGTCGTGCGTGCGCGTGCCCACATCCATAATTCTATGTGCCCTGCTCCTGCGCATGCGTCCGTGAACCCCCCCTCCGCTCCTGACATGTGATGGCATGGTAGGCCTGTTTTTTGCTCCGCCCAGCCTCCAGAGCCTTTCTAGGAGTCTGGGGAGGGTTAAAACGGCCTCCCCTTCCCCCCCGGAGGCCGAAAACAGCCTGTTTGCAAACCTCCAGTCCCAGCTGAGCTCACGTGCCCCCCGATATGGCTACGCATGACACAGGTTCGCCCTATACCATTTCAGACAGTTGGTTATCCAACCTCTTCTTAAAAACGTCCAGTGTTGGAGCATTCACAACTTCTGGAGGCAAGTAGTTCCACTGGTTAATTGTTCTCACTGTCAGGAAATTCCTCCTTAGTTCTAAGTTGCTTCTCTCCTTGATGAGTTTCCACCCATTGCTTCTTGTCCTGCCCTCAGGGGCTTTGGAGAATAGCTTGACTCCCTCTTCTTTGGGGCAGCCCCTGAGATATTGGAAGACTGCTATCCTGTCTCCCCTGGTCCTTCTTTTCATTAAACTAGACATACTTAGAGAAGGGTTCCATTCCTAAGAGGTCTGTAAAGGGGTGTGCATAAGTGCACCAGCATCTTTACTGTCCCTGTTCTTATATTGACTCCCTCTTCTTTGTGGCAGCTCCTGAGATATTGGAAGGCTGCTATCATGTCTCCCCTAGTCCTTCTTTTCATAAGACTAACCATACCCAGTTCCTGCTACCATTCTTCATATTTTTTAGCCTCCAATCCCCTCATCCTCTTGGTTGCTCTTCTCTGCACTCTTTCTAGACTCTCCACATCTTTTTGACATCGTGGCGACCAAAACTGAATGCAATATTCCAAGTGTGGCCTTACCAAGGCATTATAAAGTGGTATTAACACTTCCCGTGATCTTGATTCTATCCCTCTGTTTATGCACCCTAGAACTGTGTTGGCTTTTTGGGCAGCTGCTGCACATGGTCTTATCCAGGCATTATAAAGCGGTACCAACACTTCAAGAGATAATAACTCTGCTGCTTTTGTATTCCGGGTGCAAATATGTTAAAGGATGGATTTCATGGGGGGGGGGCAGGGATCTGTGCCATTGCTGCCCCTGTAGGGAGTGGTTATGGGGGGAAAACAGGAGGAAGAAAACGTCGGATCCCGCTTTCTTGGCGTCGTGGTGGGGGGAAAGCTTTTAACCAACCGGCTCTGTTCCGCAAAGGGTTAAATAAACCCCTTCTGTGGTTCGAAGCCTGCTGGGGTAATGAATAATAATGACAGATTTAGATAGGGGAACCTTCTTGCATAAAGATGAGTTTTGCCTTTGCTGGCCAACACCTGAGCCTTAAGCATACAATCCCCACCCTCTCCATTTCTCCCCAGCCTCCCTGGGGAAATGGGGGGGGGGCGAGAGACGATGATGTCATGTCTCAGCTCCATGGGGCCCAACTGCCTTGGACCCAGGCCAAAAGAGGGAGGAAGAAGAGGAGGAGAAGAAGGGGGCACCAGGGGTGAGGGGGTCAAATTCCCTATAATTAAATTGCTCCAGTGGAAGTTCGGCTAGAGAAACAGAACTTGCTTTTTAAGGTGAATTGGGTCCCACCCAATGGGAATCTGTCCCAAACATCTATCTATCTATCTATCTATCTATCTATCTATCTATCTATCTATCTATCTATCTATCTATCCATCGATCCATCTATTTAGCTAGCAAGCTAGCAAGCTAGCTAGCTAGCTCTCTCTCTCT